CTGGCAGGGCGCTTGTGGACAGATAGGAAGGAGGCATGAAATACGCTGAGCTGGGCCTGGCACAGTAGCCTAGTGGCTAAATCCTCACTTTGATTCTGCTGGGATCCAATATGGGTGCCAGTTTGCATCCCAGTTGCTGTACTTCCCATCCGGCTCCCTGCTTGTGGCCTGGAAAGACTGTAGAGGACGGCCCAAAGCCTTGGGACCCTGTGCCTGCGTGGGAGACCTGGCAGAAGCTCCCAGTTCCTGACTTCGAATCAGCTCAGCTCTGGCCATTGCAGCCACTTAGGGAGTGAACTAGCAAATGGAAGAGTTTTCTCTCTGTATCTCCTTCTCTCTGTATGCTTTTCCAATAAAAAATAAATAAATCTTAAAAAAAAAAATCTGGACTATACTAAGCTGTCCAGGAGCTCAAACTCCCAGCACAGACACAAGCTCTCCCATTGCAGGAATGATCTCTGGAGCTTCTGGCCCCTGCTTTGGCTCACTAGCTTTTGGGGAAGGGGAGGGTCGTTCAACAACACTGCTGACGGAGACCAGGTAGGGACGCGGAACAGACGTGTACTGGAAGGACCAAGTCTTGTTAGGAAAATGAGAGACCTGCTGACCCATGGCAGACAGTAAGTATGAGCAGCTCTGACCAGCATGTCGCCAGTCACTGGTTTATGCGGACCAAGGGCAGGCTGGAAACAATGATGTGTTCCTTCTAGTCTGCTTCCACTTAGCATGGCACCTTCTCCCGGCAGACCAACCAGGAGTGCTCTGTGAGACTCCAGGTGGCTTTACCTCATTCTTGTGATGGACAACAAATCAGCTAGACCTCTCCCACCAAGTCCACAGCTATCCTAGGTGATCTCTGCTCCTGGGCTCCTAGACTTGAGACTGGCAGCTTCCAGAGTCCTCTTCTTGGCCTTGGGGGAGCCTCATGCTGGGGCCACTGCCTCACCCTCTCTTACTTCCAACTCCAGGGGGTGGTCTGGCCACCGAAGCCCCAGGCCAGTGCCTCTTCCGGTATTGCGTGCAGAGGTCCTGCCTTCTACTCTCCCTGGAGGCTCTGTTCCTGTTTCGCCAGCTATTTTGCTTCCTCGGCCATCTGTTCCCTCCCTGTCATCTTCTCTCTGCTTTAACCTTAACCGCTACTTCACTGCAGATGGCACCAAACAGATCCGTTCCTGACACCCTTCACAATACCTGCCCCCTCCTTTTCTTCTCCAGCAGGTGGACAGCTCTTGTCCTTCTCCAGGCTCTGATCCTGAAGTCACAGGAGCTGGATTCACTCCACACGGTTGCCCCTCGGCCCCATCTGCCATGGGTCAGGAGGCCTCTTCTGGTCCCTTTTCCTAATGAGACTTTGTCCTTCCAAACATGGCCACGAACCTCACCTGTGTCCAGCACACGTCTGCTCTGTATCCCTAGCTGGTCTTTATCAGCAGTGCCGTTGAACCCCCAGAAGCAAGGGCCCGAAGTTCCAGGGGTCATTCCTGCAATGGGGGGACTTGTGTCCATGCTGGGACAGTTTCCTCTGGAAAAACAAATCTGAGGACTCCATGATAAGGATTTGTCCGTGTGCAGGACAGGAACGGAACTGAAGCATATTTTCCATGTTGTCTGTCTTCACAGCGGGAAGGGGGCGGGGGACGACACTGCACTGCTGTCCTTGCTTTTATTCTAGCCACTGGTGAACAAACACATGCAAAGGCTTGACTTAGCAACTCCCTGACTCTCTCTCTGCCAAGGTAGCATGATGCCTCCTAAAATTCCCCCTCTTGGCTTCTCTTTCCTGGCATAGGACCAATAGCTTCGAGGAGAGAAGCTGCCCTGAAGCTCCTAACGAAAAGAAGCTCTTGAGGGCCAGATTGGTTCCACTAGACTTGACTGCGGGATCTGGACAGAGTGGGTTGGGAAGGTTGAAAGCCCACATCTGCCCTTGAACTGGAGCTAAGAAGCCACACTCCCTCTCCAGCAGCAAGAAGTACCGGGGTCATCCCTGGACCATTCGCCCCTCTCCCTCTGTAATGGGGCCTATGACCAACAGCCTCAGATCCTGTTCCTCTGAGGAGGCGCAGAGAGGGAGTCTGCTCACATGTGGCCACATTGAGACCCTCTGTTCAGCTGGGGACACCCTGGATTCAAACCCATCAGTCACCTGATGACACCAAGGCCCCTGTCACCCTTCGTTCCACAAAAGAGAAGCCTAACTCAGCCACCAAGTCAAGCCATGTTGATCTGCCAACCAAGAAGACAAAATGTATTTTTCTGGGTTGCAGGACTTAACCTAGCTGGTTGTGAATTATTCAGGCAGGGCATTAACTTATAAATGAGTGTGTTTGACTGATTTTGTGGTTGATGTATAGATAAATTCTAATGAAAGACAGCTACAAGATTTTAAATTATTAATTAGACTGCCACTTAACAAAGCCTATTTGGCACTCTCTCTCCTTGCTTAACAAGACAAAGTTTAAGGGAAAGCTCTGTATTAACCCAGAGGCTCTTAATTTGCATTCTGTTTTTGTAACTCTAAAAATGAAAATCATAGATTTCCAACTTCAGCAGGCTGCTTCTGGCGACCCCCAGGCCCCAGCAGGCTGCCCTTCCACCCACGGCTGCGGGCCAGCTGGGACCATCCTTGCCTCGCCTGCTGCCTGCCTGGCGTCTGTTAACCAGGAGTGTGCCTTCTGTATGCCAACTTCTGCCAGGGTAGGTGAGGAGATGGGAGAGCAGAAAGGGCATACATCCCTCTGGGACTGTTCTGGCTGTGGCCAGTAGAATCTGTCCATCCAGAGGCTCAAGGTTCCTCCACTCCCTAACAATGTCCTGCCAGGGTTGAGTTTTCAGAGGAAAGCAGAGGAAAGCCGGCTGAAGTCGCCGCTTTCAAAGTCAGGTGAAGGCTCCAGTAGCAGCTGCTCCACTTCTGATGCAGCTCCCTGCTAGTGCACCTGGGAGCACAGAAGATGGACCACATGCTTGGCTCCCTGCCCCCAAACAGGCTCCAGCCATTATTGTCATTTGGAGAGTGAACCAGCAAATGATTCTCTGTAACTGTGTCTTGCAAATAAATAAAATCTTAAAATATATATATATATATATATGAAAGCAGAGTGATACCCCTCATGGTTCCAAGCCTCCTTTTGCCTTCTTCTTAGGTTTCCTAAGCATGGAGGCTTCTTAATTCCAGCATCAGGCCCATGAGCTCTTCCCTGTGCAGAAAGGCCAGGGTATTTCTCTCTACCCCTCTTTCCTGAGGCATTGGATTGTTGCCCTTTCCTCATCCTTCCAATCGCTTTCCAGATCAGAAGCAGACCACCTAGCTGCCTCAGGGTTTTAGAAGGGCACAGCAGCCACAGGACAGGAGGGAGGAAAACAGCACCAGGTCTCCACCTGCAGCATTCCCGCTAGGTGTCCTCAGGAACAGGCTTAGCAGCACAGGCCTCAAGGGCGCCTCCGTTGGCACCAGCTGCAGGCACAGTCTTGGTTGGCTTTGGGCACACACCTCGCACCCACCCAGAACATCTGTAATCCTGTACATGCTTGTGGAAGAGACCACTCCCAGGCACCAGAATCCTACCGGCCAACGCCAAAAAAAGCCCAGTAGGGGACCAAAAAGAACTCATTTGTCCTTACAAAATCTCAGCAGCTCGCTCCGGGCCAGCAGAGGGCTTCTCCACTCCCCTCAGGCCAAGGCAGGCACAAACCTTCTTGTGGGTGGCATCTCTCTTGCCAGCCAGGCAGAGCAGGGAAGGAAAAACAGCCTGTGTGGCACACACACTCATGTGACTGCCAAACCTCCAGTGGCCGCTTCTGGAGCAGGCTAAGGAGCCTCCCCCACTCCCTCCCCAGGGAGCAGGGCCCAGAATACACCCAGGGCCTCATCCAGATTGGAGCCTCTGGGCTGTAGGGGTGGGAGAGACTCCTGGGGCACCTGAAGGAACCCCCACCCCGTGTGGGCCGCTTCTGGGCTCCTTTTTAACTGCCCAAAGACAAAAGATCAACAGGGAAATAACCATGTCAGCTCTGATCCATCACCTTCATCACAGACCTGCAGCCTTTTAAAACTGTCTGGGAAGCCTTTTGCCCATGGGGGAAGCTTGCACGCCAGCCCCAAGCTGCCCAGACTCGCGCCTACTACTGGCCCCTTTCAGCAGGGTGCAGCCAAGGAGCAGCGTCCATAACCCGCTGTGCTTTCCCACACCATGGCAAACAGCACTGCTGCACCCAGCCACGTGGACGCAGACCATAAGTCACACACAAGTTTGTGACTACTCCCACATGGTGGGCTACCAAGACCCTTACCCAGCCCTTTCTGTCCACATCCCCCCACCAAAGGCTTGCTTTTCCCACCCACCTGCCCGACCCACTTCTCTCGGCTTCTCCCTTCACCCCTGCACTTGCTTCTCCCCATCCACCTTGGGGCTTCGCTTCCCTCTCCTGTTCCCCCCATCCCTGCATGTCAGCCACCTCCCCCTGCCCGTTTTCTCCTTCCCCAGCCCGCTGTGAGGTCAGAATGCTGTGCTTACGACACCTCGGTCTGTTGCCATGGAAACAGGGGCGGATTAAGGCTGGAGCGTGGAGCGCAGGGATCAGGCCCCTCCGCTACCTGAGCTCCCGCCTCAGCCCGCTCCCGCAGAGCCCGGACCGCCAGCCACAGGAGCCGCGCGGCTCGTCCGACGCCCGACCGGGGCCAGGGACGAGTGGGGTGGAGTGGTCCCTGCGGGGAGTCACAGCCCGTAGGACTCGGGACGGGGACAGAGCCGACACAGAGACCCAAGCAGCGGGTGGCTGGCCAGTGCGCGCTCGGGCTCCCGGGTGGTCACCTGCCCTTCCTGGGCCCCCAGGGACAGCGCCCTGAGCGGCAACCACGTGGGGGCGCGGCGGGCTTTTCCCGGAGCACCGCGCCAACTTTGCCGCGCTTGGTACCGGGGGTCGCTAGCCGCGGGGGACGCGGGTGAGGCGAGCGCATAGCCGGTTCTCCACAAGTTGAGCCTGGTACCGGCTTCACACACTTGTCTGCGCTGTCTCAGCATTCGCGTCCCTCCGCTTCAGGCAGAAGGAAAGTTTGGGCAGCCATCCCTCAGGCGCTTGCCGCTCCCCACCCTCCGCCGCTGGGGATAAGGCGTCCGTGCTGCGCGTGGGGAGCCAGGGCGCACGCCGAGAGCTCTGGCACAGGTTGGTGACTTGCAGCCGGCTACTCGGGTTGGTCCCGGCCCCGCCGAAGCGGCCGAAGTAGGGGCAGGTGCCGGCACAGGGAACGCAGCCTGCAAGTGCAAAACTTTATAACGCTAAAGCGAAGGTCCCAGGAGGCAGGCTCCCCTTCCACCTCCCGCCACCCACCGCAGTTTCAGGCTAACCCCCGCCACGCCAGATTCTCTGGTATGGCCTCTTCATCATGCAGCGGACCCGGGATTTCGTAACCGGCTACCAACAGGAGCCGAGCCCCGGCGGCAGCCTCTCGGTGGGTGCGTCCGGCATTGCCCGCCAGTCCACCAAGAGGCTGCTTCCCGGAGCCAGAGCTCCGGAGCCACACGGCTCCCGGGCTCGTGGCTCTGTCCCGTGCGCATCCAACTCCAACTTGCCCCTGCGGCTCCAACTCACCTTTGCGAAGCATGTTGGCCGTGGGGCCGCCGTTCCGAGGTCGGCCTAGGTGCGCTTCCCTTCCGAGGTCCAGATTCAAATCCCTAGGCGCCAGTTGCAGTTAATCCGAGCGCGTCGAGGCGGGGGCAAACCCGGGATCCGCTTGTGCCCGGCGGCCCGGCCCCGCAGGGGCATGGTGAGCCCAAGCCCCGCGCCGAGGACACCGGCGCCCGCCTGCAGCCGCGGCGCTGCCCGGCAGCCCCGGGGCGAGCGGTTCGTTTCGCGCAGCCGGAGGCCTGCTTCTGCCACCCCGAGCACTTTGCAGGCGGTTTTGAGGGGGGGGGGACGCCGCCCCCTGGACCGCCGGCCACAGCCCCCTCTTCTTCGCCCCCTCGGGCAGCAGCCGCCGCGGTTGCTGCAAAAGGGCGCTCGCGCGCACCGCCGAGCTCCGAGGAAAGCGCCCAGCGCGCGTTTGCAGGACCTAGCGAACGGCGGAGCGGGGCGCCTCCCTTCCTCCCCCCGGCTTCCCCCACCTCTCCTCCTCCTTCCCTCCCTCGCTCGCTAGCTCCCTCCCTCCCTCTCCGCTCCCCGCCCCCGCTCACGGAGCGCCTCCCATACAAAATTTATGAAAGTGCTCTCAGCTCGCGGTGCCGAGTGCCGTCCTATTCCCAGGGCAGCGGCGCTCAGCCGCGCGGCGCCGCCTCCCAAGGTGTTTTCGCTGCGCCCGCCCCCGGGGACGATCCTTGTGCCAGCGTGCGTCCGGCTACCTGCCCCAGCGCCACCGGCGGGTCGTCGGGCAGCTGGAACGCCCCCCTCCCTGGCCCCGCGGGCTTCCCGAAGCCCTCACCCGCAGCCCAGCCCCCGCCAGCTCGCCCTTTGCGGCTGGAGGTCACCGGGAGAGGCAGCTGGCTGCGTGCGTCCTGCCGACCGGCGGGGACGGGAGGACAACTGCCCCGAGTCTGGGTCCCAAGAGTGTGTTCTGGCCCCATCTCCTGCCTGACCAGCGCCCCTTCCTCCTCCCAGGCTCGACGGTTCTTGCCCGCCCGAAACAGCTCTGGTGCACCCAGCCGCCCTGCATCCCGCGCCCCAGAACACTGTTCTTTTTCGGGGGCGGGGGAAGGATAAGGGGACAGCCAGCACTCCAGGAGGCCCATTTGCAAATTCCAGAAAGAGGGGAGGATCAGAGCGGGATTCTAGTCGGCCACCTCCGCCGGGAGGTGGGGCGGTTTCTGATCGCCCTCTGTGCACCTAGACCCCACCCCACCGACTGGAAAAAATGGAGGAGGCATCCCTTAGAACGCGGGTCCCGCAGGGGGGCTGTGGGGCTGAGCGCAGGGGAAGGTTCAGGCCTGGCAAGATCCTGAGTGGAGGCACCCCCTACTGGCCTGGGATAAGAAGGATTCTGAAGGAAGAAAATGGAATGGGTTTATGGATTTATGGAAAGAGTTTTGTCAGGTGTGGTGCACAGCTGTTCCTGGAAGTTCAGCCCAAGAGGTCCTTGTCCTCACGGAGTTTACACTTAGACAGGGCTCGAATGAGGATGCTCTGAGCAGGTGATCTGAAGCTGAGACCCCATTGTCTTCTCCTTGAAGGGAAACTTGTCATGACAGCAAGGTCAGGGCAGAGGGACCATTCCCAATTGGAGACCAGCATAGTGAAGCTCATACTGAGCTGCCAGAAGCCTGTGGCGTGGTGGGTGAAGAGAGACCCAATGACATCGCAGGTAGCAGGTGTTTGGTGTGGTGTTTGGTGTAGACGGTACCCAGGGGAGGGGTGTGTGTGCTGCTCTCAGCTGCTTTTGGAGCACCTCCAGCTTCCTTCTACCGCACATCCTAGGCTCAAGGGTGTGGGTCTCTGCCACCCAACCAAGAGGAAGTTAACAATGAGTTCCCTTCTCCTGGGTTCTGCCCAGCCCAGTCCTGGCTGTTAGTAAGGCACCTGGGGAGTGAACCAGTACCTTGGAGCTCTCTTCTCTGGCTCCGCCTCTCAAGAAATAGGCATTTTTTAAACTGTCCTAGAATGTGATGGAAGTTAGCATGTGGTGCCTCAGTCAGGGGACTGAGGACAGCTGTGAGACAGAAGAGGTGTCCCTGGGGGCCAAGCTCCTGGGACAAAAGGGAAAGTGCCTTTCAGGAAGAAGATGGGATACAAACACCCACAGAGGAGGGGTACCCCTGGTCCAAGAATAGAGAAGGCCTCTCCTGCAGGGGTGGCCTGCCATCTCTTGGCTTCCACCAGCTGCTTGTCTACACTGACCTGATGTCCTGCCTAAAGCCCTACCAGGCAGATGCCAGAGCCAATCCCCATGCCACAGGGAGTAGCAGAGCACCTCCGTGTCAACTGAGGACCAGGGGCATTGATTAGATTGCCCAGTGTCACACAGCACATGGGCCATAGAGCATGAGGCTGAAACAGGTCGTGCTAATTCTCCTCCCACCCCCTCAAGCCTACCCACCTCGTGACCCCCCGCCCCCCAGACTCTGGAATCTTCGGGCGACGTTGGCTGGGACTGGGCGTGAGTGTGAGAAGCAGAATTATTTCAGGCTTGAACAAGGCCGGTGCTGCCTTGGAGTCCAGCCAGGGGGTGGGGGCGCTTGCAGGCGGGTGTTGTGGTATAATGTGGGGGTGCACCGTGCCCGCCTTCTTGTCAGGCAGTCATTACTCAGCCTGCTGAGTAACTCCGGCTGGGAGACCCCCACAGCCGGCTGGAGGCGTGCTGCACCCAAGCTAAGCCCCCAGCGTCCTCCCCACCATAGGAGTTTGGGGAGTATCCTCACTTGGGTGTTGATGTCCAGCTACCCAGAGCATCACCTGCCCTTGCTGTGGGGTTGCTCCTCTGGCAGGTGGGCTATGGGGCCTTCATCATCAGCCAACCCTTAGCCCCAGGAGAGCAGGGGCCTGAGGTGTGAAGCACTTGCTGGGCAGGAGCCACTGCTGAGCTGCAGCTCATCTTTGCCCCCTCGGTGCCCCCTCTGCAGTGGGAAGGTGCCCTTGCCCTGGGCTTGCCACCCTACAAGGGCAGGGGCTGGGTGACAACTCCTGCCCAGCCCTGCCTGCCAGGGTTCTATAAATGTCAGTGTCTTTGCAGGAGCTGCGTGCTGGCCCCTCTAATCCCCCCTCCCACTACCACCTGGCCACCGCTGGCTCTCAGCTGCTCAGCTGCTGGCTCCTGGGCTGCCTAACCTTCCCTTCCTCCAGGCAACCTCCCCACCAGGGCCTGTCCCAACGCTGCTTATTTTCCCTTCTTCCTTCACCTTAATTAGGGGTTTCCAAGCAGGGAGGGCCTCTCGGGGAGCCAGAGGCCACAGAGCTGCCTTAAAGAGCCAGTGGTGCTCACAGTGCCAGCCCAGGAAGCCCAAGGGAAGCGGGGGCAGTGTGGACTGTCAGCCCTGGGGTGGCGGTAGCAGGAGCTGCCCTTTCCTTGGGCAGACAGACATAGCTGGAGGCCAGGCCCACGGAGGCACTTTGCAGTTGCGAAGGTCATGGTTTTCTCTCTCTCTTTCTCTCTCTCTCTCTCTGGGAGTCTGCTTTCTCTTTGGCCCCAGGGCCCAAAGGCAGCATACACAGGACTAAAGTTTGCCAGAACCCAGAAGATTTGGGCTCAGGCTGCCTCACTGGCCCAGTCAGGAACTTTCCCCACTTCTCCACCCCACCCACCCCCGCCACACCACACACACACACACACACTCTCTCTCTCTCTCTCTCTCTCTCTCTCTCTCTCTCTCTCTCTCTCCCGGATCTTTCTCTTACAAGGTGGGTGGTGGAGGAGTCAAGGACCACACAGGCACCCCAGAATCCAGATACATCAAGGCCGAGGTTGCCCCGTGGGGCACTAAGTTCCACCTGCCAGAACGGAAGAGTCCCCCGAGGCTGGAGATACCTACAGGTCCACCTGGCAGGCCCAGGAAGCCGCGTGTGCTCCTCCACTAGGAGACCCGGGACCTTGCAGGGCGCTGACCATGGGGACAGCCCAGGTCCCGCCCCGTGAGAATCCCCGCCCCTCGCCGACCAAGCGGCGATCGATCGCCAGGTCTGCGCTCTCGGCGCTCTCCTAGCGCTGCCTTTTGGGTTCCCGGCGTGAGCAGGCTGGCGATGGCGGCGCTGGTGGTGTCTGAGGCGGCGGAGCCGGGCGGCCGCCCCGGCCCTGGCAGAGGTGGGTGCAGCCACGCTGCGGCCTGCAGACCTCGCCTCTCGCGGCGTGAGGGGACCCCAAGTCGGGAACGGCACCCGCCCCCACTCCCCTGAATGGCGGCGCCCAAAGTCCTGCTGTTGCTGGCTACGCTAGGGGAAGTCGCCTGGGTTTTGGGAAAGCGGGGTCATTTTGGTTTTGTTTTTTTACCTGTGAGGTGCTCAGGAGACCCGGGAGCTGGGGGTGGGGGGTCCTAGTGGGAACCCCTGCCACACACACAGATACACCCCGCCTTGGCTGGAGGTGGACGGCCCAGAAATGGCCCCACAAGAGGCCCTATTGCAGTGGGGCCTCGGGGAAAGAGGCCGTGCTCATACCTGCCACCGAACCTCAGGCCTGCGACTGAACTACGGTGCAGCCCTTGCCCTCGGGGGTCTCGGTCTGCTTCCCGTGATATAGCTAAGAGGGGGTGCCCACTGGCCCAGGACCCGCCAACCACGGCCCCCCTGAGGAGGTGCTAGGTGGACCACTGGCCCAGGACCCGCCAACCACGGCCCCCTAGAGAAGGTTCTGGGTGGACCCAGTGGAGCTGAGCTGCTCGGTGGAGGCCCTAACAGTGGTGCCGGTCAAGTTGGCTCTCAGGACCCACTGGGCCACACCACCTGCCTCACCCACCTCACCACAGATGAGGGTGCCCCCCTGAAATGCAACCCCTGCAAGGCCACTTGAAACAACCTGTGGGAAAATGGAATGATGGTAGCTCCATTTGGGGGTAGATATTGCAGCAACCCACACAGAGGCCATGGCAGAAGGTCTGGTATATAGCACAGGTTCACAGTGTGTGTTCTGGGGATGAGTTCACCACTTGGCTTTTCCTGTTCCCTGACTCGTTCCTTAAAGAGAGAAGAGGGGAGATTGAGCTCAACTGGATTGCCAGGTGAAGATGAATCTGGATTGAGGGCTATGTGGGCTGGCTGACGGGGCCAAGACACCACTTAACACTCCCTAAAGAGAGGAGCTGTGACGTTAGGGCGAAGCCAATTCCCTGTCCTTCCCTGGATGCCCACAGTCCTTCTGTCCTTTGAGAAACCCATCAAGTGGATTAAAGGAAAGTGTGATGCCGCTTTCCTTTTGAAGTGAGTAGGAAGAGGAGGACAGGAGCTCACCAGCTCAGGCAGGTCTGTGGGACGAGGAAGAGGGCAGCCTCCTGGGCTCATACTTAGAACAGTTTGCGTACAGAGCTACAATCTGGGGGTCTCAGAGCTTGCAGATGTTCTAAGGGGGCAGGAGGCTGGGGGAGCAGGCCTTCTTTCCAGACTTGGGTGGGAGTGGGGACAGGGCTGGCCAGTGTCCTGGGCTTTTTCCAAGGTTGTTATCCTTCACGGAGCTGTGGTGGACTCAGACTCACTCATTGTTTCTCAGCCTCCTGGTGTGACCCCTGTTCTGCAACAGGGGTGAGCCATTCCCCCATTTCTGAGCTCCCATCTGATTCCCAATCTCCATTCCCTCCTGACCCACCTCCAGAATGAAGCTGCAGGGGAGAAGTGGGCCAGCCTCTTTAGCGCCTGCTGGCATCTGGGCCTGAAACTTGGTGGAGTCGGGGCTGTGGTCCAGGTCAGACATTGACCCAAGCCTTCCATTTTTTCTAGGTCGGGGCCCTCGGGGCCGTCTGGCCAATCAGATCCCCCCCGACATCCTGAGTGACCCCCAGCTGCAGGCGGCCATCCAGGTCCTGCCTTCCAATTACAACTTTGAGATCCCCAAGACCATCTGGAGGATCCGACAAGCCCAAGCCAAGAAGGGTGAGGCCCACCAGGCTCTGAGCTGGGTAGAAGGGTGGGGGAGCTTGCTGGGGCCCAGGGAGGTGGTGGTGCCCTCGCAGGCCCGCTGTTGCTCTGACCCTCATGTCCCTGCTGTGTCTTTCAGTGGCCTTGCAAATGCCTGAGGGGCTGCTCCTCTTTGCCTGCACCATCGTGGATATCTTGGAAAGGTGAGGGTTGGAGCACTGGACAGGTCAGCTGAGCCAGGACACACTCCTCTGCCCTTCCACATGCCCTGTGTATGACAGCCCCGCCTGCCCCTGTCGCGCTCTCTGCCCCTTTCTCTCCGTTAACCATCTGTCTACCCAAGGGAGACCAAGCCCCCGGATGGCTGAGAGCCCTGCTTATCCCTGAAAATCTCTCCCAAGTTTGGGAGAGTGGAAGGTGTTCCTTTGCAGTCCCCTCAACATCAGGCCGGGAGTGGGCACTGGAACCTAGGGAGGAACCCTGCTCTTCAGAGCACACCCTGAAATAGGCTGAGGGATCAGGGTGGGGGTGATGGGTCTGTAGGGCACCCTTAGGGGAGGAGGGCAGAGATGACCGGAGGAAGGAGGGGCCCGGAAAAAGGCATTCACTTCTCCTTGTGGAGCAAGTCTTCCCTCCCACCGCCCTTGTTCTAAGTTTCTTCAGTGCAATGAGCCATCCTTGGGAGGGGGTGCGTGCTCAGCCATCTGGAACAGGCAAAGGCAGAGGGAGGGGGAACGAAGAGAGGGGAGGTCATCTCGTGCTGGGAGCCTCCCACTTCCCTGCTGCTGCCCCCCTCCTCCTTGCTCTCCCCCTCCTCTGCCACAGACTCACTTCCCTGCTCCCACCCTCTTGCCCCTTGGGGATGCTCTCTGGGGCTCAGGCCAATTTGCATACATTTTAATCTATAAAAAATTAAGTGCTCTGGCTGACTCAGAGCCTGGGCTGCATCCTAAGGAGCTGAATAATCTGCTTCTGTGCACAGCCTGATTTGGGGAAGGGGTGGAGGAGGGGAGTAGCTGACAGAGGCTTAGCTCTCCAGACTGCACCCTTAGGGGGAAGAACTGGTCAGGAGGGCAGTTGAGGGTGTGGGTCTCAGTCCCTGGCCAACCTCTGAGGCCCTGTCCCAAGCATCGGGGGGCTTCTGTCTGAGGGGAAAACTGGGATTGCTGCTCTCTGTCAAGTCCAGGGGGGTGCAGGGTCTTGGCCACCCTCCCCCGCCCCCTGGTGATTCAGGCCTGGCAGCCGATCCTTGACGCATGAGGTGCGTGGGTGGTGCCATGTGCTGTGGGGGAGCTGTGCATGGGTCCCCCCATCTTGGGCACCGAGGGCCCTGCCGACGGGAGGGGAGGAGTGGGGGGTCCGGGCAAGAGGGAGGTGGTGCGTAGCCATACATCGGTGCCCACACACACAGCAGCAGCAGCAACCCGTGGGAGTGGGTCCCTGCAAGCGTGTATACGCTTGCTGCCCCGCATGGGCTGAGCCGGGACCCTGCAGCTCTACATTTGGCTCCAGATCTGCAGGGCTGAGGGCTGGGGTCCCTGCTGCAGGCCGGGTCCGGGCTACAAGCAGAAGAGTCAGGGTGCAGCCCAGAACCCCTCCTGCAGCTCAAGTTCCAGGAGCTGCTGCCAGGGCCGGGGGAGGCACAGCTGGGCGCCTCCTACTCTGTTGGCAGAAGTGGCAGCTGCCAACTCAGGCAGTCGGGAGAGGTAGGGAGAGAGGCGCTGGGCCCCAGACACCTCACAGAGTTAGGGCTTTTTTCTGCTCCTTGAGACACTGTGTCTTAGTGTCCTCCCTCTGCCCGCCCTGGCACAGGTTCACAGAGGCTGAGGTCATGGTGATGGGGGACGTGACCTATGGGGCCTGTTGTGTGGACGACTTCACTGCAAGGGCCCTGGGAGCTGACTTCTTGGTGCACTATGGCCACAGCTGCCTAGGTATGGCAACCCCGGCCCACCCCCTGACCCCTAACTCCACATCCTGGCCAGCCTGCAGGGAGGCATGCCTTTGCCCCCTAGCCCCATCCCAATTTGCAGACACTTGGTTCCTCCTGGCTTCTGGGATGGCCTTGGTCTTCCTGCTCTGTAGGTGGATCTTTCTTTCAGATTTGTTGCCTTGGAAACAATCCTGCTGTCCCAGATGCAGGTACTTGAAAGGCTGTTGGTGGTACAGCCGGCCAGGCCCCAGCTGGGGGACACAGGAGCCTGGCCGAGAAGGAGCTTCTAGGATACCTGCGACTCTCTTCCCAGCTCCCCATTGCCCTCTGTCCTCCCAAGACCACCAGCTGCTCAGAGACTACACATCCAGCCAGGCCCTGTGCCCCTCCTACCTCTCAAAGTGTCCTCAACTGTCTCCTTCTAGTCCCTATGGACACCTCAGCCCAAGACTTGCGGATACTGTACGTCTTTGTGGACATCCGGGTAGACACCACCCACCTCCTGAACTCCATCCGCCTCACCTTCCCCCCTGCCAGTGCGCTGGCCCTGGTCAGCACCATTCAGTTTGTGTCAACCTTACAGGTAAGGGAAAGGAGGATGCCAGTGTGCCCAGGTTGACCCTCTGGCCATGGCTCTCCATCCCCAGTCCCTTGCTGCCCATTGTCTCTGCAGGCAGCTGCCCAGGAGTTGAAAGCGGAGTACCGTGTAACTGTCCCACAGTGCAAGCCCCTGTCCCCTGGGGAGATCCTGGGCTGCACGGCCCCCCGACTGCCCAAAGAAGTGGAGGCTGTCGTGTAAGTGAACACAGGGGTCAAGTCCTGGAGACATGAAAGAGAGGTGCCTGGAGCTCCAGTCCCTGCCCATCTTGCCCAAGGTCACACTGCAAGGCAGGGGCCAAAGGGAAGCAGTATCTGAGGTGCACTGTCTCCCCCAAGCCCTGTCCACCGTCCCTCCACTCCTCTGGGACTGGGCTGGGGACAGGTGGCAGGGCCTGGTCGGGAGATGAGGGGGGACGAAAGAGGGAGGGGAACATAATTGGGGAAGATGGATGGGCACGCCCAGACTGCAGCCCCATTAATTTAGCATCCGGACAGCTAACAAGCAGGAGCCGTGTGTCTCCTGCCGCCTAATTATTTTAGGTAATGGAAATGCTTAATGTTGTGTGAATGCAGCCAGCCTCGGAGCCAGCAGCTCCCCCGGCTAGGACTGCAGAGGGCGGCCCCATTCCCAGCTAATGGCAGGAAGAGAGAGAGAGAGAGAGGTGCCCTCCCCGCCTCAGCCCTCCCTCCAGGACTTTGGGTACTGATCCCACAGATCTTACTGCAGCCACACAGGACCATCCCCTGCCCTTTGGCCCTGGCAGTCCTGCCCACCATGGGCATTCCCCTCCTAGTGTACCCCTTTGCACCTGTGCCTATGTGATTGAGCTAATGGAGACCTGCCTTTGGTGGCATCAAGACAATACTGGAGGGACTCCTGGGGGTTGGCCATTCGTCTAAATGAGGGGTCATCTCAGCTGATTGTCCCGAGGAGCCTTCAGGGACCGATGGTCTTCTACGGCCTCGGGAGGGACTCGTATCGGGGCTCTGTCCAGCCTGGGAAGCCGGCAGTCAGACCTCTGACACGTGACTTAATGACCGTATGCCTGGACAAATTTCTTCACATCTCCAAACCCCTGTTGTGTCTTTTGCGGAAAGGGAATTCTATAGGTGTCTTAGAGGATCATTTGTTGGGGTCTATGTAAACTCATACCCGTCAGGTGCTTAGAGCAGGCCTGGTGCACAGAAGGCCCAAGTCCAATAAGCTCCAGCAGTTCTGCTCACCTAGTAACTGGGCCCAAGAGCTACTCCGGGCAGAGAATAGCTAGAGCATGCCCTAAAACATCCCGCGCGGCTGCGATGGCCCCCCGGATGCTACTTCTCACATCTGTCTTGGGTTTGGTAAGGGAGACTGTGTCCCCCAACTTCCAAATTTGGATCTCTGGAGCCCTTGGCGGCTTTCCCGGGACATCCGGATTTTCCTTGGCTTGCCTCTACCCTTCCCCCGGAAGGCTGGGGCGGGATGGTTTTTGTATTCTGCCTTACGTAACCGGAAGGATCTCGCGGGTGTTTCATTCAAGCTCCTTCTTTTACACGTGGGAAAACCAGGGCCCCCCAAGAGGCGAGGTGATGACTCGTCCCAGGTTACACCAAGAGTGGGCAGCCCAGCCAGCTGAGAACTTGCCCGTCTGAGCCAGTGAGTGTCTCTTGGTCCTCACCCTGCCCCTCTGATGGTCTCCTTCCCACCCCCGCAGGTATCTTGGAGATGGCCGCTTCCATCTGGAGTCTGTCATGATTGCCAACCCCGAGGTCCCTGCTTACCGGTAGGGCTGGGCTGAGGGGAGGGCTGGGGTGTCCTTTCCCCCGTCCCTAGGCTCTGAGGCATGTGGATCCTTATGTGGGCATCAGGCCATGGGTTCCCAGGGATTCTGACTGAGATCTTACACCCCTCCCTAGTCGCACAGTGGTAATCCCTGCCTATGCCTCTGTTCCCAATGACCCACATGGGGCCAGAAAACTCGAGAAGCCAAGGGGCCTTGTCAGGGAGATGTGTGAACCACGGGAGTTCCAGGAGTGGCTGTTCTGGTGACCTTGGTTTATTCCCTTGCAGGTACGATCCGTACAGCAAAGTCCTGTCCAGGGAGCACTATGACCACCAGCGCATGCAGACCGCCCGCCAGGACGCCATAGCCGCTGCCCGCACAGCCAAATCCTGGGGCCTCATCCTGGGCACTTTGGGCCGCCAAGGCAGTCCCAAGATACTGGAGGTCAGTGTGACCTGTGGAGGGGTGGACGAATGGGAGCACAGGCTGGAAGTGCCAGGGGCCCGAGGCATGGAGTTCTGGCCACTTGTTCCTGCTGAGCCCAGCTCTCCCTCTCCCAACAGCACCTGGAGCATCGGCTCCGAGCCTTGGGACTCAGCTTCGTGCGGCTGCTGCTCTCGGAGGTCTTCCCCAGCAAGCTCCGCCTTCTCCCGGAGGTGGACGTGTAAGTTTCCTCACTGCACTCCAGCTAAGGAGGCCCAGAGCAGGTTCCCCTATTGGCCCCACACACACTCTCAAGGCTAGAGGCAGTGAGAACTGTGTTCATGACTATGACAAAGAAAATGACTTATTTTATTAATTTGAAAGGCAAAGAGAGGGAGAGAAAGAGAGATCTCCCGTCTGCTGGTTCACTCCCCACCTGTCTGCAATAGCCAAGATTGGGCCGGGCCAACGCCAGGAGCCGGGACCTCAACTGGAGTCCCCTGCATGTGCAGCAAGGACGCAGTTGAAGCATCACCTGCTGCTTCCCAGGGTGCCTGTCAGCAGGAAGCAGAGCTGGGACAGGAGCGTAGGCATTTGGATATGAGGTGTGAGCATTCCCAGTGGCATATTAACCACCCTGCCAAATGCAAACTGTTCTTTAAAGATTTATTTATTTTTATTTGAAAGTTAGAAAAGTTACTATTTTGAGGGACTGGCAATGTGGCATGGCAGCTAATGCATCCACCTGTGGCGCCAACATCCCGTATGAGCACCAGTTCATGTTCTGGCTGCTGCATTTCCAATCCAGCTCCCATTTGGTGGCTTGGGAGAAGCAGCGGAGGAAAGCCAAGATCTTGGGACCCTGCATTCATGTCGGAGACCTGGACGAAGCTCCTGATTCCGGTTCTGGCCAAGACTGGATAGAAAATTCTCTGTTTCTCCCCTTCTCACTGTAACTCTGCCTTTCAAATGAAGACATTTTAAAAAATCAACAAATGAAATTAATATTTTGAAAGGAAAACAGTCTGAGAGTTTTTTAAGATTTATTTATTTTTATTGGAAAGGCCGATTTACAAAGAGAAGGAGATACGAAGAGAAAGATCTTCCATCCACTGGTTCACTCTTCAAGTGGCTGCAATAGCTGGAACTGAGCTGAACCGAAGCCAGGATCCAGGAGCTCCTTCCAGGGCTCCCAAGCAGGTGCTGAGTCCCAAGGCTTTGGGCCGTCCTCGACTGCTTTCCCAGGCCACAAGCAGGGAGCTGGATGGAAAGTGGAGTAGCTACGACATGAACCTGTCCCCTTATGGGATCCTGGCACGTGCAAGGTGAGGATTTAGCCACTGAGCCATCGTGCCAGGCCCAGAGCTGTTCCATTTATTGACTGAACTGCCGTGGCAGGGCAGGAGCCTGGAACTCCATCCAGGTGTACTACATGGTGGCAGGTGTACGAGTGCCGTCATCCACTGCTTTCCAGGTGCACTAACAGGAAGCAGGGATAGGAACCAGCACTCTGATACGGGATGGGCTGTCCCGAGCAGTGACTTCACCTGTTGCATCACAATGGAGGCCCGCAGGGACCGGCACTGTGAATAAACTAAACAATAATAGCCCATAAGAAAGTTTTAAGTTATACTGAGAGTCAGACATACAAAGGAGATGCCATCTCTTGCTCACTCCTCAGATGCCTGCAGTGACCCCAGTGGGCTGAGGTAAGGAGCCAACAACAGATCTCCCACGTAAGTGGCAGGAACTGAATCCCCTGAGATGTTCCCACTGCCTCCTAGGGCCACATCAGCAGGAAGCTAGAGTCAGGAGCCCAGTGTGATAGCCTAGTGGCTAAAGTCTCGCCTTGCATGTGCCGGGATCCCATATGGGTGCTGGTTCTAGTCCCGGCAGCCTGGCTTCCCATCCAGCTCCCTGCTCATGGCCTGGGAAAGCAATAAATAATCTTAAAAAAAAAAAAAAAAGGCGCGGCACCGTGGCCCAGTGGCTAAAATTCTCGCCTTGAATGCGCGGGGATCCCATATGGGCGCCGGTTCTAATCCCGGCAGCCCTGCTTCCCATCCAGCTCCCTGCTTGTGGCCTGGGAAAGCAATAGCGGACGGCCCAAAGCCTCGGGGCCCTGCACCTATGCTGGAGACCCAAGAGAGGCACCTGGTTTCAGACTGACTCAACTCTAGTCATTGTATCCACTTGGGTGAGTGAACTAGCAGTTGAAAAATAGAAAAGAAAAACTTGGAGAGTCAGTCGTCATTAACTGGTTTACTGCCGAAATACCACAGCCAAGGGTGGACTCAGCTGAGACTGGCAGCTGGGGGTGCGGGCCCCATCTCCTAGGTTGGTGGCAGGAGCCCAGCCACCCCTGCGAGCCTTGCCACCTGCCAGGAGGGTTTGTGTTAGCCAGAAGCTGGACTCCAGTGCCGGAGCCGGAACCAGCTGTCCCGCCTGCGTCCTGCCGTGGGAGGCGTGTTACCTGCGAGGCCAAGGCCTACCGCACGCCACGCCACGGAGTGTTCCTGTTGAGGGAGCATTTCCCCAGCGGGGGTAGGACCGTAGCCGGGAGTCACGGCTGTCCTTCCTACTTTGTGGCTCAGAGGCGACAGCAGCGGCGCGGTGGTCTGCACTTGGATTGGAGCCCGCACTGAATTTTGGTTCTGGGGTACCACAACCGCTGCCCTTGGAAAGTCACAGGGCAGGGAGCAGCAGTGCAGCACGCTGAACACGGCCACAGGCTTTGCTTCAGGGTCAGTGGGCCATGGGGCCCGCCTTGGGGTGGTGGTTGAAATGCCGCTTGGGGTGCCTGCGGCCCCTGCAGGAATGCTGTGCTTCCTGGAACACCCAGGGCAGCAGGTGATGGAGGCTCAAGTGGCCAGTTCCCCACTGCCCGGGACGGGGGAGACTTGAACTGAGCTTCTGGCTCCTGGCTTCGGCTCTGCCCAGCAGTGATCATTGCAAGCATTCAGGGAGTTAGCCAGCCAGCTCTGCCTTTAAAACTCCTGCTGATTGTGTCCGGCACGATAGCCTAGTGGCTAGTCCTTGCCTTGCTGTGCCGGGATCCCACATGGGCTCCAGTTCATGTCCCAGCTGCTCCACTTTCCAGCCAGCTCCCTGCTTGTAGCCAGGAAAGCAGTCAAGGATGGCCCAGATCCTTGGGATCCTGCACCCACGTGGGAGACCCAGAGGAAGCTCCTGGCTCCTGGCTTGGATCGGCTCAGCTCGGGCCGTTGCGGCCATCGGGGGGTGAACCAGGGGCTGGGAGAGCTTCTCTTTGTCTCTGCCGTAATAATAATAGCGATAAAGATCCTGCTGACTCCCGGGCATGTCGGGGACACTGACTTCCCGTCGCAGGTGGGTGCAGGTGGCCTGCCCACGCCTCTCCATCGACTGGGGCACAGCCTTCGCCAAGCCCCTGCTGACGCCCTATGAGGTAACGCCGATGCCCGCTTCTCTGGGCGCTCCGGGACTGGGGGGTGGGCAGCACAGCTTCCTGGGGTCCTCCGGGTGGGGTCCCCTAACAGCCGTGCCGCCCTCGGTGCCCAGGCGGCCGTGGCCCTGGCGGACGTGCCCTGGCAGCAGCCCTACCCCATGGACTTCTACGCCAGCAGCTCCGCGGGGCCCTGGACCCCCAACCACGGCCGCGCCGCCCCGGCCAAGGTAGGGGGACGCGGCCGGGGAGCGCAGCGGGCGGGGCCGGCCGCACGGGCCGAGGCCTGACCCGGGTCTGCGACCCCCGTGCAGGAGGGGTGCGGGCGCCCGGGCGCGGCGCCGGCGTGCGGGGCCTGCAGCTGCCGGGACGCCCGGGACGCGGAGGAGGCGCCGCCGGCCCCTTGAGCGCGCCGGGGTCTCAGGTATGCGCCCCGCTGCGCCTGCGCGCGCCCCGCCCTGCTGTCATGGCCACGCCCCGTCGCGCCCGAGCCCCGCCCTCTCGCGTCCACTTCCGCTCGGGGCCGGGCCGCTTCCGGTGCCTCCCGCACGCGGCGGCGGACCATGGCAACCCCGCGGCCGTTGCGCGTGCTGTGCCTGGCGGGCTTCCGGCAGAGCGAGCGCGGCTTCCGAGAGAAGACTGGAGCTCTGAGGAAGGCGCTGCGGGGCCGCGCCGAGCTCGTGTGCCTCAGCGGCCCGCACCCGGTCTGTGAGGGCGCGGGGCCGGACTCCGGTGAGCCGCACCCCGCGTCCCGCCCGAAGTGCACCCGAGGGTCCCTCCCTTGGCCCCGTGCACCCCGGGCCCCCTGCGCCCCTCTGTCCCTCCACTGACCCCGGGGCCCCCTGCACCCCTCTGTCCCTCTATTGGCCCCGTGCACCCCGAGCCCCCTGCGCCCCTCTGTCCCTCCATTGGCCCCGGGTCCCCCTGCGCCCCTCTGTCCCTCCATTGGCCCCGGGTCCCCCTGCGCCCCTCTGTCCCTCCATTGGCCCCGTGCACCCCGAGCCCCCTAAGCCCCTCTGTCCCTCCACTGACCCCGGGGCCCCCTGCGCCCCTCTGTCCCTCCATTGGCCCCGGGACCCCCTGCGCCCCTCTGTCCCTCCATTGGCTCCGGGTCCCCCTGCGCCCCTCTGTCCCTCCATTGGCCCCGGGTTCTCCTGAGCCCCTCTGTCCCGCCCTTGGCCCCATCCACCCCGGGTCCCCCTGCGCCCCTCTGTCCCTCCATTGGCTCCGGGTTCCCCTGAGCCCCTCTGTCCCGCCCGCAGGTGCCTGCGCCCCGGAGGAGCAGCCCCGCGGCTGGTGGTTCTCCGACGCGGCCGCCGACGTCTTCTCGGCGCTGGAGGAGCCCGCGGCGTGCCGGGGGGTGCCCGAGGCCCTGGGCGCAGTGGCCGCGGCGCTGAGCAGCCAGGGGCCCTTCGACGGCCTCCTGGGCTTCAGCCAGGGCGCCGCGCTGGCCGCGCTCGTGTGCGCGCTGGCCCAGGCCGGGGACCCCCGCTTCGCGTTGCCGCGCTTCGTCATCCTGGTGTCCGGCTTCTGCCCCCGCGGCCCGGCCCTGCAGGAGCCCATCTGCAGGAGCCCCTTGTCGCTGCCTTCCCTGCATGTTTTCGGGGACACCGACCGCGTCATTCCCGCCGAGGAGAGTGTGCGGCTGGCCAGCCGGTTCCCCGGAGCCGTCACCCTCACCCATGGCGGGGGCCACTTCATCCCGGCTGCCGCCGCCCAGCGCCAGGCCTACCTCAAATTCTTGGACCAGTTTCTCTCTGCCTCTGGCCCGCCCCCGCCGGGGCAGTCGCTGCCCCCTCCTGCCCCTCACCTTGGGACCTCGCTGTGACCGGGAGCGGTTGGAGGACGGCAGTCCATTCTGAGGATTCAAGCCTTGGACCTGGCAGTCCCTGGAGGAAAGGGGAGGAGGACCCCGGAATCTCCAACTTCCCGCTATTCACATATGGAAAAAGCAGAGGACCCCGGAGGAGAGGAGGAGGGTGACGGGGGAGACGCGGGGCTGCCACGCAGGGAGGTGGTGACCCGAATCGCCAGCGTGACTGCCCCAGTCTGTTCAGAAGGTCCACGCGGCCTCATCCAGGTGTGCTCCCACAGTTCAGATGTTGAAGTTCCAACAGGAGGGAAAAGAGGCTGCGGTGGCCGAGTCCGGGAAAGCTGTGGGTGAGGGGTGCAAGGAGGAGACCTGAACAGCCTGGGCTGACCCTGGCTTGCCCTGCCATGGTCCCTGACGTGTGTGCGCGCCTCTCTTCAAGCCCTGGGCTCTGCTTTCTCCTGATGCCGGGCTGGTGCTGGACCCTGGCCAAAGATGACCCCGAATAAACAGCCTCTTCCTTACCTTGGCATTGGTGCTGGTCATCACAGCTGTCACTATCACGGCCCAGCCCCAAGCTGGGGTGCTTGTCAGCCTGAGCTGCGTCCACTGCTGTCCCCACAGGCCCCCTCCCGTCTTCGGGACTGCTTCCTGCCTCTGCCAGGCAAACTTGCTGCAGTTGGCATGGCCTTTAGCCAGGGGCACCCCAGAATCTCCTTTACTGAGCCTGTTAGGGGTCGGGGTGCAACATAGAGGATCTACTGGAACTGCTTCGGTTCCCTCCTCCTACCCCATGGAAAGCTGCCTGAGAGTCCAAAAGGTGGGGAGGCAGCGGGGTGCTGCATGTGGAGTGCCTGGAGACCTTATAGAAAGTTCTGGGAGGGCTGTGGGGATCCCTTCACTGCAGGCTGCCTCTGCCTTGCACTTGGTGTTAACTTCCACACCCCCCGCCACACCCCCTTTCTTTTTTTAAGATTTGTTAGATTTACACAGGGAAGGAAGGAAAGGCGTTGATCTTGCATGCACTGGTTAAGTTCCCAAATGGCAGCAAAGTCAGAGCTGATCTGATGTGGATGTTCCAGGTGGGCACAGGACCCCAAGGGTTTGGGGCCGTGCTCCACTGCTTTTCCAGGAGCTTCTTTTGAGTCTTCGATGCAGCTGCAGGGTCCCAAGGACTTGGGGCATCTTCAGCTGCCCTCCCAGGTCTTTAGCAGGAAACTGGATTGGGATAGAAACAGCTGGAACATGAACTGGCACCCACATGGGATGCCAGCCATAGTAGAGGATTAACTCACTGTACTGTGACTGATCCCAGACCTGCTGAATTTGACTCATGGAGTTGTAAGTTTCAGGTGTTTCACACAGAAATTCAGGTCTGTCCTTTCTTGGGAAATGCTGCTGCTGGGGATCCACATGCCTTGACCCTGAACAGGATCCGGAGACCAGGAAGAAGTGGCACACACCCCAGCTGCTGCAGCACATCCCGTTATAGAGGACTGCGGGGAAGCAATTCCAAGGCTTACGGTTACAGGAGTGTGGGGGAGACAGGTAGGTCAGCGTGCTTGCACCTCAGGCACAAGGACTTCTCAGAGGTAGGATGTGCCAGCGAGGTGCAAAGGGCACAGGTGGTTCGCCCTGCCCGCTCCCCAGCATGCCCTGCCCTGCAGGCCAAGGGCTCCCTGTACAGAGCCACTCCTCCCAGGGTTCTCTGTTCAAACTTGGGATCCCGGGGGCAGCTCGGACCAGCTGGGTCAGAACCTCCGGGGCCCCAGTCATCCTGGGGTGTGACTGTGCAACAACAGTGGAAACCACTGCTGTGGTGCCAGGCAGCGGCTCAACAGGCCAATCCTCTACCCTATATGTGCTGGCATCCCTTGAGAGCCCCAGGTCATGTCCCAGCGGCTCCGCTTCTCTTCCACCTCTTCCTGTGGCCTGGGAAAGCAGTCGAGGATGGCCCAAAGCCTTGGGACCCTGCACCCATATAGGAGACCTGGAAGAAACTCCTGACCGGTTCAGCTCCCGCCATAACTGCCACTTGAGCAGTAAACCAGCAGACCGAGAATCTTTCTCCTCTTTGTAAATCTGTTTTCAATTAAAAAAGCTGCCATGGGGATGGAATGAAAGTCTGGTAGCTGTGATGCGTCTCACCAGGAGAGGGAGGGTCGCTGATCCAACAGTGGCAATGTGTGGCTAAGGAAGACGAGGCCCATGGGCTAGAAATAGGAGGAACGTTTATTATAGGTTCCTACCCGTACGCCAGACATGGTGATAAGAGAAGCTGTAATGTTGCCTAATTGGATCTCACAACTGCAGGCGCTCAGGACTATTGTTAGCCCTGCTTTACAACTAAGAAGCAGGCAGGCGCAGAGCGAGGTGTTTCAGCCAGACAGAGCTGGAGTGAGGCGTGAGAATGCGGTCCTGACCGTCAGTGCCACTTCTCTGCTGCTGGTTGTCGGGCTGTGTGTCCCAGCCTTCACACTCCCGCCTTGGGGTCCTGACGCTTTGGGGAGGACAGAGTCCCTTAGCACAGCACCCCACAGCCCCCCGTCCTGGGGCACCTGCGCCTTTCCCTGCTCTAGTGGCTCCCCTGGTAGCCCAATAAAGAGCTTAATGGCATTCGGCTGTGCACAAAGGGTCTTTTTAACTTACAGGAATCTGATGCTCACGACGCATTGGCCAAAGGGAGAGTGTTACCGCTTTTATGGGAGGGTCACACAGAACCTGGCCCCTTTACCAGCTAGAACAGTGTCCGCTGGGGTCCAGAGTCACGCGTTGGGGGTCGGTGTGCGACCTCAGGGGCAGCACGTGGTGGTAGTTAGCCAGTGACTCGGCACCAGCTGCCTCGGCAGGTCTTCGGAAAGGAGGGTGGGGTGGGCCGGTTTCCCCAGCGCTGCCCCCTGGAGAACTCGCACAGCTGATGCGCAGCGGGGAGTGGGAGACGCACACGTGTGTGTTTTTAAGGAGATGAGTCCTCGTGCTCCTCCGGCATGGCAGGACTTGGGCTGCTGTGGCACACACGTCTCCTCCCTCAGGTTGGACCCCGAGACCTGGAGACAGGCTGAAGTGAGAATGCGGCTCCTGGACTGCGCCTAGAACAGGTTAACTTCCCTGGCCCGGCGGGGTGCGGGGCTCGGAGCCCCCAGCATCGGGTGGGCGTGCGCGGCTGGAGGAGTGGGCTCGTGGCGCGAATAGGAAAGCTTCCCTCCGGCCCCGGGGGAGGCAGGGTCCTTCGCCTCCGGTTCCAGGCGCCCCCACCCCTCGCGCCCAGGAACCCGAACCCAAATCCCCGGACTGCCCCTTCGCCCTGCGGTCGGGCCGGCGCGGCTGGGGGGCCCGGCGCCCCGACCCTGTGGGCCGCCCCGCAGCCTCGCGGCCGCCTCCGGCCTCCCCTTCTCCGGGCGCGTCCTGACCGGCCGGCCGCGCGCCCCGGGCTGGCGTGGCGTGGCGTGGCGTGGCGCGTGGGCGTGCTGCGGGGCGACCATGGCTGTAGACTGTTACCTCCGGTTCCCACAGTAACAATCGAAAGCCACGGTTGCCCTGGAGACGCGGGGGCGGGGCGCGCGGTGACGCAGCGACCCGGGCAGGCTGACGTCAGGCCCGGGGGCGGGAGGCCGTGCGCGCGGCCAGCGAGGCCCGTCCGGGGGTGCGCGCGGCCCCGGGGGAGCGGCCGGGATCAGCACCGCGGACAGCGGCGGGCAGGGGCGGCGGGCAGGGGCGGCGGGCAGGGGCGGCGGGCAGGGGCGGCGGGCAGGGGCGGCGGGCAGGACGGGCTGCGGCCCCCGAGCGGCAGGGGCCCCCGAGCGGCAGGGCCAGGCGTCGGTGGCCGTGACTGGAGACTGTTACTGAGGGCGGCCCGGGCAGTAAGCAGTCTAGAGCCAAGGTGCCGGCGCGCTGCCCGGGCGGGGGTGCCCCCTCGGCGCCGGCCTGGGCTCCAGAGACGAGCCGGGGGCGCAGCCGCTCCTCCCCCACCCCCCACGGCTCCCCGGACGGGCACGCGACCGCTGACGTCAGAGCCCCGTGACGTCAAGGCCGTCCTCGCGGGGGGCGCTTCCGGTCCCGCCCCCGCCTGGTCCTGAGAGGACAGCTCCGCACGCAGAGGCGGGAAGCCGTGGGCGCGGGTGGCCGGGCCCGACGGGGCGGCCCGGGGAGGGGGGCGGCCCGGCCGGAGCGCGGGGTGGGGCGGCGCTCCCGGGAGAGCCGCTGCGTGGTCGCCGGGCCGGTGGGCGTCCGTGTCCTGCCGGCGTCGCCGCTCGGCCGGCTGGTGGCCGCGCGGCTGAGTCACCGCGCTGCGGAGAGGGGAATGGGGGGGCGCCGGGCCCTGCTCCCCACCCGGCTGGGAGGACGTCGCAGGAGCCCCCCACCCACCAGAGCAGGCAGCGCGCCCCGGGGGGCTCCGGGGGGCTCCGGGGTCCCTCAGGGCGCAGGCAGGTGCCGCCCCCCAGCCCGGCCTCGCGCCCCGGCGCCCCCACGCTCACCCCGGGGGCCGCAGCGCGCGGGGCTCCCACGCTCACCCCGGGGGCCTCAGCGTGCGGGGCTGCTCGGCGCCCTCCCGTCCGGGTCCGCCGGCCGGGCTGCGGGGCCCGCGGAGTCGCTTACCTGGCGGGCGCGTCGCCCGGCGCCCGCTCGCTCCCCGCAGCCCGGCCGGCGCGGCCGCTTTTATAGGCGCGCGTAGTACTCGTGCGGCGGCTCATTCATGCGGCCGCGGCTCCTACACACTGACGCGCTGCCGACGTCAGCGGGGAATTTAGGAAACGGGAAAAGGGGCTATTTATAGTGGCGCGGCGGGGGGTGCGGTGGAGGCCGAGGCGCCGGGAGGGGCAGGCGGTGCGCGGACGCAGGAGCGGGTTGGGGGAGCCCGCGCCCCCCGGCCAGGCCCGCAAGGGTTAACTTTCCGGAACTGCGGGCTGGGGGGCTCGGCGCCGGCCCCGGACTCCTGCTCTTCCGGGGAGGGCGTCCTTACCTGAGCCCCCCACGCCTCAGCTCCGTCACATCCCGCAAGGCCCCTGCGGTGTCGTCACCTTCTGGAGGGAGTGGGGTGGAGGGTAGGAGAGGAAGCCGGACCCCTGGAGGGGCGCGGGGCGGGACGGGGGGCTGGCCTGGGCTCCTGTCCAGAGATGAGCAAAGGGGTCAGGCCGAGGGGCTGGGGGCGCTGAGCGGACAGGCCGAGGGGCTGGGGGCGTCAGGCCGAGGGGCTAAGGGCGTCAGGCCGAGGGGCTGGGGGCGCTGAGCGGACAGGCCGAGGGAGGGAAGCTGGCACGGGGGCCCGCCTGGGGCCGTCGGTGTGATGGGGGTCCTGAGCCGTCAGGTGAGGGTGATGAGCGCAGGAGACGGAGGGCTGCGCAGCTCTGCAGAGAGCGGCGGGTGTGTGGGGGTCCCAGCTCGGTTGCCAAGGAGGAACGGGGCGGTGGGGGAGTGGGAAGAGCTGGCGGGGGAAGGGGCGGGAGGCGCGGGTCCCGCAGAGGGTCCTGGGGAGGGCAGGGCAGCGCTGTGGCAGCCGGCCCCGCGGCAGGGCTGCCAGGGCTGCGTACCCCTCCAACACGCAGGCGAGGACACCTGGGGGCGGCAGCCAGGGCTCTGGGTGAACTAGCGGAGCGATCCTGCCCCCAGCTGAAGAAGAAAAAGTCTGTGGGTTCTGGGGGGGGATGGGTCGGCTCTGTGCGCCCCCGCCAAAGAAGCGGTGCAAAGCAGAGAGGGGTGGGCAGAGGAGCCCCCATGCCTGCTCCATACGGTTTGGCTTCCTGGGGACTTCCTTTTCCAAGCCACCGGCTTTAGCTCCAGAAGTGTCTTCTCCAGGAATGGTTTCTTGGTGAGCGGGACAACTCTTATTCACCCGTCAAAGCCCGACGATTAAAGCACTTCTTCCGAAAAGCCTGCTCATCCCTCCTCCAACAGCTGCACCTGCTGTTGCCCCCTCGGTCCCCCAGCGCAGCAGGCCCCTGACCCGCTACACCGGCGGTGGTCGCCGTCTCCATCACTCCTCCCCGGATCCCGAAGCCGGCCGCCTCCACCTCGGTGGGGAGACAGCGCACGACCCCGGAGGAAGCCGGCTGCGGGGTGCGGCGGGGTGCGGTGCTCGGTGCACCTGCTGGGTTCTAACCCGAGCGCCCGGGCCTGGAGGCGGCCTCTGCGCAGGGCAGGGCGCCTCTGGGGGGCGCCCGAGCCCCGGGCGTGTCAGGGACCCGGGCGGATGATTCACGCGCTGCCGCTGGCGGCGGCGTGGGCGTGCGGGGCGGCGAGCGCGGCCCCCCACCGGCCTGCGGCCCCGCGCGCCGTTGCTAAGCTCTCCAAGGCCTCGCGGGGGGAGACGCCATCGGCGCGAACCTCCGGTTGCCGTGGAAACGCGGCGCCCCAGCCTCCGGCGCGCGCCCGTGGAGGACGGCGCAGCCAATCCGGAGGGGCGGGCGTCCTGGGGGCCGCCCCGCGCGTGGGCGGGGGTCAGGAGGTGCGTGGAGCGGACGCAGCGTGGGCCGGGGGACGCGTGGGGACACTTCCGGAGTGGCCCCTGCAGCCCCCGCGCGCCCGTGGCCGGTCCTCTCCGTGCGCGCAGAGGGGACCCCCGCGCGGAGCGGCCCTGTCCGTGGGCTGCACGGCCTCGCCGGAGGGGCGGGAGCTGTGCCCGAACCGGGGCCCCTCCGTCCCGTTCCTCTCGGGTCGGTGGGTTGTAAAAACAAAACATGAGAGGTCCCTCAAAACGACTCACGTTGGGGATGGGGGCGTGGGAGACTGGGGTCCCCCAAGAGACTCTGTCGCATCATTTCCAGTCAGGTGTTCTGATATCTCACTGTCACCATCCGCACCGGAGCCCCGCGCGGTGAGGGCGGGCACGCCCCTCGCCCCGGGTTCACCGAAGAGCCCCCCGGAGCGCCCCAGGGTGCTGGGGTTCCGGGAGCGACCGGCGCCCGCGTGTGCCACAGCGTGGGGCGTGTGACGCGCGCACCTGAGCCAGGTGCCCGCGTGGGCAGCCGGTGGGCACGCGTTCCCAGAGATGCCGCCAAGGGGGCTTGCCCACCTCCCCACCGGCTGCCCCGTGCCACCACGCGCGCCCGCGGCTGCAGGCAGGGACGCGAACGCGTCGGGGGCGTGGGGGCCCCGGGCGGGCACCCCTGGCGAGGGCAGTCCCACGCAGGCACGCGCGCCCCGCTGGCCGCCCAGGTGTGCGGAAGGGGCGCGGCGAGCGGGGGCGCAGAGCCCCGCGTGGCCGCGAGGTGGCGCCAGGGGCGCAGCGCCGCCCGCCGGCCCGGGCCGCTCCAGATAAGAGTGTGCGGAAAAGCGCGGCGCGCCTGAGACGCGACCAGGACGCGGGGAGGACGGAGCGGCAGGACACACCGACCGGGGGCCCGGCGGGCGGAGGGCAGCGCAGCGCAGCCACGTCCCCCCCTGGATCCGCCGACAGCCGGGCCCGGGGCTTCCGACATGCCCCCCAGGTGGGTCCTTGGCGCTGGGGACCGGGAAGGGGACAGGGGACCCGGGACAGCCCGGTCCTCGCGCGCTGGTCGCCTTGGGCGCATCCTCTGGCACAGGCGCCTCATCGCGCTGGCGGCCGGTGCTCTGGGGCTCGGGGTGTCGTCCCTGGAAGACGGGACCGCCGGGCCGCTCGCTCCGCGCCGGGTTCACGGCGGGGTCAGCGGCCCGGGCCGGCTCTGCCCGCACATGGGCTGGAAAGGCGAGGGGAAGGGAAGGGGAGCCGGCGGGCGGGGCTGCAGGGGCGCTGCCCTGGCACAGCTCGGCGCCTGGCAGCGGGGCTGGTGGGGCGCGCGGGGCTGGAAGCCGCCACCGCTGCGGGGAGGGGAGCCCGGCGGGCTCGGGCCGCAGGTAACCGGCTTCGAAGTGCTGCGGGCCAGGCAGAGGAGCGGGGTGGGTCGGGCGGCCGAGCAGGCGGGCGAGGGAACTCCGGGCTCGGGGGGCCCCAGGGCCGCTTGGCCGCCTCTGAAGCGTGGGGGCCCGAGAGAGCACTAGCTGGGAGTGGATGGGGCTGGGGCCGGCGCGTTCGTCCCGCCCTGTCTGAAGTTAGGAAACTTTTTTTTTTCTCCCCCAAGTTTGGGGTGGCGGAGTTCCGGGGGGGAGAAGGGACCCGGGGAGGCTGCGGAAGGAGGCGCCGGGTGCGCGAATGTCGGACCAGGGCCCGGGCCGGGGCCGGAACGCGGGGTGGGGCGCAGGCCAGGGTCAGGGCCACAGCCGGCTGCGCGCCGCCGTGCCCGCCCGGGGCGCTGCCCCCTCCCTCCCCTGGGAGCTGCGTGGCTCCCCCCTCCCCCCCACCTGCTTCCTGCCTCAGCCTCCTGCCCCGATATAACGCCCTCCCCACGCCGCGGCCGGGCCTTCGCGCTCTGCCCGCCTCGGCGGCCGCTGCCTCCTCTCCCCGCCCCGCGGCCACTGCCCGGGGTGGGGGCTCCCGGCCAGGGTCCTGCCAGCCCCCCGGCCGGGGCGGCGCCGCGGCGGGCCCCTGCGCTCCCGTGCTCCGTGTCACTTCCCCCAGCTGGGCCCACTTCTCCCGAGGCGGGGAGGCGCTTCTCCCCGCAGCTCCCCTTCTCCCCACTTAAGCAAACTTCTCGGCCCTGAATGACTTTTCCTGAAGCGGACATTTTACTTAAATCGGGTAACTGTCTCCGCAGAGGGTCACCTAGCCCGGGCTCCTTGGAAGCACCCCCCCAGTGCATGTGCCCAGCGGCGGGCCGGTCCCCCGAGGCGCGCACAGCTCAGCCCGGTGCAGCCAGGCCCGCCGCTGCGGCGCCTCTCCGGCCCGGGGCTCGCGCTCCTGCTGCTGCCCGGGGCCGGGCGGCCTAAGGCTCGGGCTGCCCGAGGCCGCTGACCCGCCGCCGCCACCGCTGACCCCCGTACCCCTTGCTCGGCTGAGGGGAAGGGGAAGTGGAGGGGAAGCCGGGCTGGGCCGGGCACGGGCGGCGAGAGCGTCGCGGCCTCTGCGTGGCTCTTACTCGGCCGGTGTGTGTCCCCCCCCGCAGGAGAGTGTGCTGGGCAGACGATGCTGGACACGATGGAGGCGCCCGGCCACTCGAGGCAGCTGCTGCTGCAGCTCAACAGCCAGCGCACCAAGGGCTTCTTGTGCGACGTGATCATCGTGGTGCAGAACGCCCTCTTCCGCGCGCACAAGAACGTGCTGGCGGCCAGCAGCGCCTACCTCAAGTCCCTGGTGGTGCACGACAACCTGCTCAACCTGGACCATGACATGGTGAGCCCGGCCGTGTTCCGCCTGGTGCTGGACTTCATCTACACCGGCCGCCTGGCCGACGGCGCCGAGGCGGCAGCGGCGGCCGCCGTGGCCCCCGGGGCAGAGCCGAGCCTGGGCGCCGTGCTGGCCGCCGCCAGCTACCTGCAGATCCCCGACCTCGTGGCGCTGTGCAAGAAGCGCCTCAAGCGCCACGGCAAGTATTGCCACCTGCGGGGCGGCGGCAGCGGCGGCGGCGGCTACGCGCCCTACGGCCGGCCGGGCCGGGGCCTCAGGGCCGCCACGCCCGTCATCCAGGCCTGCTACTCGTCCCCGGTCGGGCCTCCGCCGCCGCCGCCGCCGCCCTCCGCCGCCGCCGCCGCCTCCGAGCCGTCGCCGGGCCCCGAGGCCGGGGTCAACACGCACTGCGCCGAGCTGTACGCCTCGGGGCCCGGCCCCGCCGCCGCCGCCCTCTGCGCCCCGGAGCGCCGCTGCTCCCCGCTCTGCGGCCTGGACCTGTCCAAGAAGAGCCCGCCGGGCTCCGCGGTTCCCGAGCGGCCGCTGGGCGAGCGCGAGCTGCCCCCGCGCCCCGACAGCCCGCCCGGCGCCGGGCCCGCCGCCTACAAGGAGCCGCCGCTCGGCCTGCCGCCGCTGCCGCCGCTGGCCTTCCAGAAGCTGGAGGAGGCCGCGGCGCCCCCCGACCCGTTCCGCGGCGGCGCCAGCCCGGGACCCGAGCCCCCCGGCCGCCCCGACGGCTCCAGCCTCCTCTACCGCTGGATGAAGCACGAGCCGGGCCTGGGCAGCTACGGCGACGACCTGGTGCGGGAGCGCGGCGGCTCTCCGGGCGAGCGCTGCGAGGAGCGCGACGGGGCCGCCTCGCCCGCCGGGCCCCCGCTCGGCCTGGTGCCGCCGCCGCGCTACCCGGGCAGCCTGGACGGGCCGGGCCCCGGCGGCGACGGCGACGACTACAAGAGCAGCAGCGAGGAGACGGGCAGCAGCGGCGAGGACCCCAGCCCGCCCGGCGGCCACCTCGAGGGCTACCCGTGCCCGCACCTGGCCTACGGCGAGCCCGAGAGCTTCGGGGACAACCTGTACGTGTGCATCCCTTGCGGCAAGGGCTTCCCCAGCTCGGAGCAGCTGAACGCGCACGTGGAGGCGCACGTGGAGGAAGAGGAGGCGCTGTACGGCAGGGCCGAGGCGGCCGAGGTGGCGGCGGGGGCGGCGGGCCTCGGGCCCCCCTACGGCGGCGGCGGGGACAAGGTCCCCGGGGCTCCGGGCGGCCTGGGCGAGCTGCTGCGGCCCTACCGCTGCGCCTCGTGCGACAAGAGCTACAAGGACCCGGCCACGCTGCGGCAGCACGAGAAGACGCACTGGCTGACCCGGCCCTACCCCTGCACCATCTGCGGGAAGAAGTTCACGCAGCGTGGGACCATGACGCGCCACATGCGCAGCCACCTGGGCCTCAAGCCCTTCGCGTGCGACGCGTGCGGCATGCGCTTCACGCGCCAGTACCGCCTCACCGAGCACATGCGCATCCACTCGGGCGAGAAGCCCTACGAGTGCCAGGTGTGCGGCGGCAAGTTCGCACAGCAGCGCAACCTCATCAGCCACATGAAGATGCACGCCGTGGGCGGCGCGGCGGGCGCGGCGGGCGCCCTGGCCGGCCTGGGCGCGCTGCCCGGCGTGCCCGGCCCCGACGGCAAGGGCAAGCTCGACTTCCCCGAGGGCGTCTTCGCCGTGGCCCGCCTCACGGCCGAGCAGCTGAGCCTCAAGCAGCAGGACAAGGCGGCGGCGGCCGAGCTGCTGGCGCAGACCACGCACTTCCTGCACGACCCCAAGGTGGCGCTCGAGAGCCTCTACCCGCTGGCCAAGTTCACGGCCGAGCTGGGCCTCAGCCCGGACAAGGCGGCGGAGGTGCTGAGCCAGGGCGCGCACCTGGCCGCGGGGCCCGACGGTCGCACCATCGACCGCTTCTCCCCGACCTAGAGCGCCCCAGCTCGGACCCCCGGGGGCGGCGGCTGCGGCGGGCACCCCGCGCCCGGGACACGGCGGGGGCGGCCCCACCTCGCTGCGGCCCCACCCGGCCTCACTGCTTCGTGCCTTAGCCCCGGGGTGGGCGTGGGGGAGAAGCCCCCGGGACGGGGGCTGGGGGGGATGGGGAAGGGGAGATTTATATTTTTGATATCAGCTTTGACCAAAGGAGACCCCCCCCCCCGGCCTCTCCCCGCCTCTTCCTGTGGTTCGTTGGCCCCCTGGTCCCCCGACCCCCGGCTCCGTGCTGCTGTCGGGGGAGGGGTGTCACTGTGGGGCGCTCCTAGCCCTACCTCCGGCCCTTGCGACCACACCCATTCTCACTGTGAATCTCCCCGCTGGGGTCGGAGCGTCCGGCGGAGTGGGGAGTGGGGGAGGGGACTGAGCCGGCCGGAGGGCCCCCCGCCCCCCACTCCCGCCCGCCCCGGGACTGATAATGTGAAGTTCCTCATTTTGCACAAGTGGCACTAGCTCCAGGGCCAACCTTTAAACCCTGCAGGACCACCAGGGGCCGGGCGCTCTGGAGTCTGGGCTGTTGGCCAGCCCAGGTCCACCGGGCCTCCCAGTCCCGTGGGGTCGATCCCGTCCCTTCCCTGGGGTCCCGGACCATATTTATTGCATGCGCCCCGGTGGCCCCCCATCCCGAGCCCGGGCTGGGCTGGGCTGGAACGCGGTCTCTTTAGCTCCCTCCTGTTTGTATATTTCCTACCTTGTACACAGGCTCTTTCAGAGCCGCTTCCATTTTCTATACTCGAACCAAACAGCAATAAAGCAATAACCAAGGACCCAGACCGAGCTGCTGTCTTCCCCTCCTCGCAGGAAGACCTGGGTGGGCCACCCCGGGGACACGCAGGGGCCAGAGAGGGCCGCCCTGGCGCAGGTGCAGAGGCCTGGATCTGCTTCCCCTCCCCAGCCCAGAAATAGATCAGCAGGAGGTCAGGTATGTTTCATAACTAAAAATTTATTAAGGAAACAAAACCAGTGCTGCAAACTGGGGACAGAAAAGGAGCAATGGGTCCCTCGGCCGCCCAGTCACGGCCTTGAGCCTGGCGAGGGCTTGGGACCCTCCAGCTGGCAGGAGCCCCCTCCTCCTGATAGAATGGGTCTCCCACCCCTGGGCAGTTGGTGGGGGGGGGCGCCACTTTCCCTCTGGTCCCTTCAGCTCCACCCAAGGCGTTCTCTGGCTCCTCCTCACCCTTGCTCCTGGGCTGCAGGAACTCCCCTTCAAGGGGAGGCCTGTGGATACAGGCTCCTGGCACAGCCTTAAAAGGGTCCCGCGGCAAGGCCAGAGCCAAGCCAGGCACAAGGTGCCAACGCCGGGCTAGGCAATGCTCCCCCTTGGGCTGAGGCCTGGCAAGGATGGGCAGGTTGGGCTCCTGCCACAGGTAACAAAGAGGAAGTGTGAAGCCCCTGCATAAAGAAGCGAGGGATCAGAGAGGTGAGTGGGCCAGAGGATGTGGGGGTGTGGGGGTGTGCAGAGATGGTGTCACAGAGAACAAGGACATTTCCCAAAGAAGCAGCTAGCGGGGAAGGCAGGCCAGCGAGGGAAGGGGAGCAGGTGAGGGGCCCCGGGAAGCTCGGCCTGTGTCCCAGCCTGTGCAAAGGGACCAGGCTGGCAAGGACGGGAGGAGATGGGGGCTGGGGCTGTGAAATGGCCAGAAGCAAAGCTGGGTTCGTTGGGGAACCCAGGCCTCAGGGAGGTGGGGACAGGCCCTGGGTGCCATGCTCAGGACGTGTGACTTGACCTCCATCTGATGGCAGCTGACACCTCTACCCCGTCTGCAGTGGGGAAGGGGCCCGAGTCCCTGGGGTGAGCAGGCCCAGCCCTGGAGTGCCACAGGGGAGGGACGGGCTGAGGGCGCGGGCGGCCCCGCCAGCTGGCCCACCTGCTGCTGCTGCTGCTGTAGCCAGCCGCCTCCCTGCTCAGTCTGGGCAGCCCAGGAGGGTCCCAGCGGCGTCCGCCCAGCCCTTGGAGGGGCTCTGTGAGGAGCAGCTCCCCCCAGCACGCCATGGCGCGCGGGTTGAAGAGGATGGTTTATTGTCTGGGTGGACTGATGGCGCAGGCACGTGGGCGTCTTGCGTGCTACACTGGGCACTTGCTGGACTCTTAGGAACGTTCCACAGGGGGCGGGCCCCAGCGTGGCCCCCTCAGCCCACCTGGGCCCACGCAAGGAAGGCGGGGATGTCCCTCACTGGCACGTTCCTGGTCAGCGCCTTCACACGCAGGTTCCGGTCGTCCGTCAGCAGCACCACCTCCCGCAGGAGCCGGATGGGCTCTTCTGTTGGCACAAGAGAGCGAGGGACGTCAGTGAGGGCGGGGATGAGGGGGCTGTGGTAGGGGAGAGGAGTGGCGAGCCTGTGGGACCCTTTCCTTCACCCTGACTCTCAGCTGAGGCCCTTCCTGCTCTCCCACTCTGTTTCCGAGCTGGCTGGGCCCACCTTCCTGTCCAGCCGTGGTTCTGTCTTAGGCCCTTGGGGCTCTCCAGGCATCCCTTCCTGCCCCTGAGCCGAGGCAGTGGAGACCCCTGCTCGCTCCTGACTGGCCAGGCCTGTGCTCGCTGTAAGCCTCTCCTTGCCCACATCCTCTCCCTGCAGAGCCAGCAGGGCGACGCTGCGGGCATTCGCACGCAGAGCACTGAAGATGAGAAAGGAAGTGCATGCAGATCTCCCAGGTGCGGGCAGAGGGGGTGGAAGGACAGGCGGGCAGGAGGTCCTGGCGGCACAGGGCCTGGGGGCGTCCAGAGGCCACGGCCGGCTGATTTCCTCCATCAGGTAAAAGTAATCTCTCAAGAGAACAGAGAGGAGGGCAAACAGCCCGGACTGCCCCCAGCTCTCCCTCGGGCGGGTGCCAGGGCTAACCTACACACATGCACCTATACCTGGGTATACAAGCTTTGACTCCCGCAGCATGCACTCAAGCCAGCCATACTCAATTCAAGTCTTACACACGTCGAAGACTTCTCTATTAGCAGAGAGAACCCTTCATTCTCTTTAGATGACTGTTTAGCACAATCTCTACCAACTTCCCCCCTCACCCCCAATTCCCTAACCTTTAACGTACTGGAATTTAAAGCAGGACCACACACTCACACGGGTGACACCCCAGTCCTGGCATGCATGCTGGAGTGGCAGGCTGGGCATTTCCTGGCGGAGGCCTGGCAGACAGTGTGGGCTGGTGGGGACAGGGACTGCCAACATCTGGGTCTGGCCTGAGCCTCGGGCTCCCCAGCCCTGGGCGGACAGGCAGGCTGAGAACCGGCTTTCAGCTTCAGAAAGATTATGGGGGACGAGGAAGAGAGGGGTTTGTGGGGGTGACAGTGGGGAGAGGAGGAAGGAGGGTGTGATGGAGCAAGGGGCTGGGGTGGGCAGAAGACAGAAGGCAGTCTTGGGTGGGAGACGTGCAGCCAGCACGCAGCCGTCGGGGCGTGGGTGGGAGCGGGGCCTCGGCGTGGCTCCCGGCCGGCCTGCTGTGCGCAGCCCCAGCGCTCCTGCTCTGGGCCTCAGACCACAAGAGTCCCAGGCCTTAGGTCAGCCCGCCAAGGCCTGGCGTTGCTGGCAGGGGTCTGCAGGGGTTTCTGTGGATACTTTGAGACATTTTTAACAATAAACATCCTCTGTTTTGACACTGGTAACTTCACTTTGTTAGAAACCAGAGACTGTCATCTTGTCAGGCCCCATCCGCCATAATCCACATGATTTTAAAATTCAACATCGTTTACACATAAACATTTGGTGACGGTTTCTCTGTGAATCTGACAAGTTAATCTGCTAAGAATTCACACTGACAAATGGGGTTTGATTGCACCAGCCGTTGCTGATGTAATTCTGATAGGGGCGGTCCCCAGGATGGCAGTGGGTTCCTGTAGGCCGTGTGGAGTGAAGTGGGGGTTGGGGTGTTAACAAGGCCAAAACTAAAATATGTCTGCAGAGAGTTTTCTGAGGCTGGGCACTGAGCACCCGTGCTCTCCAACAAGGGCCCTGCCAGGCTGTTAACAGCCCCTCAGCCCCTGTGAGGCTGGACCAGGGTGCCTTCAGATGTGGCCCCCAGGGACAGGCCAGCATCCCATGTGGCAGGGCCCTGCTGAGGAGCAGCAGCTGTGTGCTTGTTACTGGCCCCTGGTAGAGACTCGGGGGCAGGAGTACAGGCTGGGCTCAGAGCAGAGGCGAGGGCAGGCCACTGCTAAGGACTTGAAGAGGCCAGAGAGGACAGAAAAGACAGAAGACACTACATATATGGAGACACAAACCAAACGGGGACAAGGACTAGCTCTGCAGGCGACGCTGCACCGGGAGGTCCTAGGGATTCTTTACTAAAGAAGAGAAGCTGGAACCTGGAAAATCAGGAACAGAAACAGCTTGAACCCAGAGGCCGTGCAGGACAGAAGCCCGGGACGTAGGCGAAGCTGTCAGGTGCCTAGGACGGAGTCTTGGGAGGAGCCCTTGGCCCAAAGATGGGATTTTACTCATCAAAAAAGGCCTGCACCTTGGGCTGAGGGCGCAGGCACTTGCCTGTCTCCAACTCCAGCCAGCCCATGGAGGGCTGTGCCCAGGCCTGACGTCAGATAGGCATGCAGTGATGAGCTGAGCATGGCCAGGGCAGGGGGCATACCCAGGGACCACCAGGGCTGTCTTCAGAGCTACAGAAGCCTGGTCTCGGGAGACCAAGCTACACTGAGCCAAAGACATTCTTACCGTCCAAGGGAAGTCACTGAGGACCCAAGAAAGGAGATGGGTGCACCCTGAGGGGCAGATCTCATGCCTGCAGCTGGGCCACCTGTGTCTGGTCTCATGCTGAATGGGCCCTGGGCTGATCCAACATGTGTTGCCTGCAGGAACTATGCCAGGGAGGCCTGTCCTACCGGAGTGCAGGAGCCTGGGCTGGCCACAGGTCTGCGAGAGCCTCAGCATTCCCGAGATGTCCCAGGACATCTCAGGCCTGGGGGTGGGGGCACCAGTGGGGCCGAGGGTGAGCCGTACCTTTGCTGGTGGGCATGAAGTCCTTGGCCTTGTCTTTGCAGTAGTGGAGGCAGCAGGAGAGGATCAGGTCGTCGTTGTTACCCTGGAGGAAGGCAGTGTGAGAGGCGCCACTGGGCAGGAGGGGGCGCTGTGTGGAGGCAGCAGAGCCCTGGGAACCCTCGAGGCCTTGAAGGGCCATGTCCCCCAGCCCTCCCAGGCATGCTCTGGCCCTGCTGGGTTGTGGCCAGCTGTGCTAACCGTGATCTGGGGGACAAGGAGTTCCACAAACTCCCTGTCCTGGGCCTCCATGGGGGCTGCTCCCTCAGCTGCCAGGGCTGATGGGAGTCCCTGGCTGAGGGCTGGCTGTGGGCTCTCTCTTCCTGTCAGTGGGGGCTTACCAGTTGGCCAGTGATGTCTTCACTGCGGAAGGCAATGGATTCAAGTTCATTGCCACGGCTGGTCAGGGCCCTCAGACAGGAGTCCCGACTCTCGAATCGCCGCTCGAGGAACTCGATGGACTTGCGGGCCTTTTCTTGAACCACACGGGCATAGCCCCCAGCCCGGTGGTCTGTCTCCTGCCCTTTGGCCAGGCCGTCCAGCTCGTTGATCACTGGGAAGACAGGACCCCATGGGGTGTCAGCCTTCACTGCAGACCTGTGTCCACTCGCTTTCTCAGGTGACCCCATTGCAGACCACAGGGGGTCTCCAAGGGATGTGAGGGTAGGAGGGCAGCTGGGGAGCGCAGTGCTGTGTCCCCTCTCTGCCTCTGCCCCGTAGTCCTACCCGGCTCCTGGGAGGCAATTACAGGGTCTGACTGAGGGGAACAACCCCAGCTCCCACTGTTGCATTTTTCAGTTACAGGATCCAACTGAAAGGACCTCTTGGGGGAGGCAGGGAATGCAGCAGCAAAAGGGAAAGTGAGGCACTCTCTCTCATGGTGTGCCCCCCCACCACAGCAGCCAGAGCAAGGTCAAGTCCTATGACCTCTGGACAGGGTGGGTGTGGGCAGATCACCACAGAGGATGGGGCAGTTGTCGCACTTGCAAGGGCTCTGGCATACCTCAAAACCATACCCCTGGCACATCTACCTCCTCTGATGCTGTGCATGTGTGTGTGTGTCAGCCTGCCTGCCTATGTGTCTGGGACACGGCTTCATTTTCTGGTGAAGATTCTTTCCAAAATTCCAGCCAAAAGCCTGAGGTCAAGTGGGAAATATGCACGCCTTGGGGGCTCCGGGCGAGCTTGGGGTCTGAGGCCTCTCCTCGGTGCAGTGATTCATGGCTCGGGGAGACGGCTGAGCATGCTGTTCCATGGTGAGCCTGGCACTCATTGTCTGGGTATTCCGAGACACTTTCTGGAAGGGGCTTATGTGGGCATACACACACACGCTTCCAGCAACCTGTGGTGGTAGTATGTTCCAAAAGATGGCGGGGTCTGGGGAGCAGTGCTGGTGGATAGGTATATGGTACAGCAAACAGAAGATCAAACAGGAAAAACTGGTATTCTATCCCAAAATCTGCTTTCATGCTTCCAAACTAAACATGCTTCAAAGGGGAGCTTGTTTGTGCTTCTGCACCAGGCGGGGCTTCTCAATGCCGGGGTCAGGCACGCTGAACAGGTCCAAGAGTACAAGAGACAAGCAGGGCGAGCTCTCCGCGGAACCTTCTGCAGCCCCAGGAGGAGCGCAGGAGCCCACCGTGGAGAGCCTCGCAGAGCCAGAGCCCCTCTTATGGCCACGGAGAGTCCAGGGGCCCGCCCAGCTGAGGCAGGTTCAAGAGGCTGGCCTCAACTAGTGCCAGATGCTCGGACCTCTGATCCCAGTGAGCCCTGAGCCTTCACGTGGGGCTTTGGCTCTGGGATTCCTTGTGTGCCTTCTCTCCCTGTACCACCTCTGCACTGGCAGGCTAAACCATGAACCCCTCAGGAACGAGGGCAGAGCTCTGCCTTTCACCAGGCCTCGGAAACAAGGGGGAGACTTGGCCCCAGCAGGAGCTCTGCTCCCCTCCCTGGGACGGTGTCTGGGCTGGCCGCGCTTAGCAGGCTCCTGAGATGTCAGTCAACTCTATAGGTTACACCACTTCCTGACCACCCAGCACAAAGGTGACCAGTCCCCTTCCCTCCCCTCTGAAAACCTCCTGGGTGAGACAGCATGGAGACTGTGTCCTGAAAGGCAGCGTGCCCCCGGCCCAGGCAGGGGAGCTGGGCAGCTTGGGACACGGGGGTCCTGCAGCTCTGCTGTGTTGATAGGAGCTACTCTCCTTTTGAAGTCCAGAAAACCTTCCCATCAGTCTAAGGGCCTGGCTTTAAGAGGCTCTGGCCAGGCCACATGGGGAGGGGAAGGAAGACGGGGAGGGTGGAGGCGAGGAGGAGGGCTGCTTTGGTGCCAACATTCTCAGGTGGTGCTAGCGTGTTTCCCACAGCCCCCCAGGGCTCTCGAGCCTCTGCAGGGTGGATGCTTCCTGCCCTTTGTTTCCACCCCCATCTGGCACGGAGACACTTGGGACTGAGAGGGAAGGCCCAGTGCAACACCTTGGCATGGATGTCAGAGGTGGCTTGGCAGGCCGACTGCCAGTCTGGTGGCTTTTTCAGACAACATACGTGCTCGAAGTGGCTGCCGAGAAGGGGACATTAAAAAGCCTGGGTGAGCAGTTAAGCTGCTGGTTGTGATGGCCATGTACCATATTGCAATGCCAGGGCTCACGTCCCCGTTCCCACTAATGCACATGCTGGGAGGCAGTGGTGTTGGCTCCAGGAACCGGGTTGTGGCCATCGATATAGGAGACTGGATTGTGATCCTGGCTCCCATCTTGAGCCTGACCTAGTCCTGGCTGGCGCAGGCACTGGAGAGAGAACCAGCAGAGAGGAGCTCACTGTTTCTCAAAACAAACAAACAAAAAACAAAACCCAACCAACCAATCAACCCAATAAAAAACACATAAGAACAAACCCAAACAAAACCCCAAGCTCTCCCTTTTCACAGTACAGTTATCAACCTTATTTCCCAGGAGCCCAGAGACCAACGCCCACCCTGAGGCGACCTAGCACAGAGCCCCAAGAACTGAGTCCCCAGTGAGGGCCCTGGAGATAGCCCCCAGCTGGGGTCTTCTGGCTGGAGGGTGGACAAGCAAGCTAGCTGGGCTCCAAGAGACTGACTTTGCACCAGCACCAATGACCAAGGGTGAGAAGGGCCCAGATAGTAGGAACCCACAGGCGGGAACTAGGAGCTTGCTCTAGAGGGTTCCTGTTGGCCTGGCCCTAGGGTGACACTGGTCAGAAGAATGTTACCTCGAACCAACAGAATGATCATGAAAAGCTACAAGACGATCAGACCAAAGGCATCTAACCACTTCACAATCCTCCCAGCCTCCCTGCCAGACCACCCAGCAGCACCGCCGTTATCTGCCAGGGCCGAGTGTTTACCAATAACGGGAACCAGCTTTGCTGTTTTACTGCAAGCTTTATAAGGATAAAAACAAGGGCTGGGCTCGGGCAGCCGCTGGTTGCTGGGACACAGGAGTCCATTTGCTCAGGCAGTTTAAGCCATGGATCAGCCATAATAATTTGAACTGCTTTGATTATTAAACAATTTTCCTTGCCCACGCATTCCCTACTTCCCTGCAAATCCTGTCGTACACACGCACAGCGGGCCCTGCCGGCCTGGCCCCGGCTGTGGGGCATGGGCTGCCGTGCACGTGCAGGCTGCACTGCCCTCCCCGCCTCACTCACTCACTCACCGATGAGGGGCACCACCAGGATGTACTTCCTGCTCTCCAGCAGCCGGGCCAGACTGGCCAGGTGGTCGATGAAGCCATTGGTGTCCGGGACAAGGAACAGGGGTCTGATCTCCAGTTCCATCTGCCTCATCTGACTATGGTCTTCCAGGACAGCCTACAGGGACACAGTGAGTGAACCAGACAGTGAGCACGCACACAGGTGGGGGAGCCAGGGCCCTGACTCGACCGCATGTCAGCTTCCTGCCCCCCCCAACCAGCCCTTCCCTTCCAGAGGAACCAACGGCTGAGCAAAACACTGCCTCAAAATCAATACAGACCCAGGGGCCCGCGCACAGGGCCTGGTTAAAACCGGGCTGAAGACTGGTTTGTATGAAAAATAACAGGTCCCTGAAAATAGGACCCTGGGCTAAAAGTCAACAAGAAGAGTGATCTTACAGGAGACAACAGATGAGTACTTCTCAGTCCAGACACCTGAACACAATTCAGCACTTCAACGTGCCTTGCTGCAGCCATCAACAAAGTTAAACGTAAGGGATGTGCACAAGATGATGCTACTTTCAACACCAACTCAGTCTCACCTGGCACCCAGGACCACAGCACTGTCCAGCCTAATGCCAGCTATCGCCCTCTCCCCAGCCAGCACAGTGCACCCTGAATGTGGGCCCTTTTCTGCTGTCTCCCCTTGTCTGTCACGGCCCTAGACACACCATAGTCCTCTTCACTTGACATTTTCTCTGAACGAGCATTTGTCTCATCACTTCCTTCACTCAGTCTTCCTCAGCAATACTCTGTCGAGGGGCTGCCAGTGCAAGCTCAACTCCTAGAGGACAAACGGTCTCCTCACAGGGCACCAATGGCCTGTGTGCCCCATCCCTGCCCATGTGCCCTCCCTCAGGACTCCCGCCCCTATCTTTCAGGGAGGCTCTGCATGCATGTGGGCAAGCCCAATTTTCTCAGGGCTGACGGCCTCACACGTGCAGCAGCGGCAGATGGGCTCTGGGCATGTCCGTGACTACAGAACGTGGTCACTTCTGTGCTACTTCCTCTTTTGGGGACCACAGCCAAGAAGCGAGCTGATCTGCTGCCATCTGCCCAGCCTGTGCGCTCTCTGGGTAGGCAGCCGAGGGCAGCACCACCAGCATGATAGGGGCCAGGCCGGCAGGTTGCAGCTTCCTACGCCCTCTCATGGCCACCTGCCACACCGCAGCTTGCAGGGACCCAGCTGCAGGTTCAGGGCAGGGGCAGTGCATGTGCGTGCCAACTGAGATGGGGCCCCTGCCGCCGGGCCTAGCCACCAACAGTCGGTGAGGAGGATGCTCGGGTTTCACTGACAGTGACAGTAAAACTGAAAGGGCATGCCTTCAAATGATGGGGGTGGCGTCTCTGTGACCTACCAGGGACCTCTCCCTATGAGTAAGTCGTTGCTGCCACTGCCACCACAGCTGGTGGAAGGCACACGCCACAGGGCGCTGGCAGGCATGAGAAATGCGGCTGGGAGGCTCTGGCTGTTGCAGCCTTCCCACTGACCCCACCTTTTGAGGGGGAAGCACCATGGCTGCTGGCCACCTGCCCGGGACCTGGGTCCCCGCCCCTCCCCACAGGGCTGCCAGCTAGAGGGTGACACACACATGAGTGCATGTGGCGGGGGCTGTGTAGGAAAGGGTGGGAACAGGTCCTACTCAGGTTCAGGGAGTGCTTCTGGGCCTCATCTTCCCAGCTTCAGGCTTCCCACTCGTCCTGCTGGCCGGAACCCCCAACCCCTGTCTTTCTGAGAGGAGATACAACATGTACTGAGCAGCTGGCACTGTGGCACAGTAAGCTGAGCCACTGTCTGCGACACCAGCGTCCCATGGGAGCTCTGGCTTGAGTCTCGGCTGCTCTGCTCAGGACCAGACGTCCTGCTAATGTGTCTGGGAAAGCAGCAGAAGAGCGCCCAAGAGCTTGGACACTGCAGCCCACGTGGGAGTCCTGGACAGTTATAGACTTCAAGCCTGGGTCACCTCTGGCTGTTGCGGCTCTTTGGGAAATGAACTAGCAGACAGAAGATTTCTCTCTTCTCTTTCCCCCTTACTTTGTTTCTCAAACAAATAATATTTTTTAACAGAAAAAAGAACATGCACCCACTCTGACGCAGACTGGGGGCTGGTGCACAACAGGGACAGGGCCCTAACACCATGACCTCTGCCCCTGAACCACCAAGACTCTGCCCGCAGGTGCTGTCCTGCCCACAGAAGTGACCCTACCCTTGGCCTGAAGCGATCATAGAAGTGGAACTGGCAGCTGCTTTCTGCCTTGCGTGAATTGTTGCCTCTTCCGGCCTTGTGCTGTCTGACCTTCACGGTGGGTGGCAGGGGGTGGGGAACAGGGGTAAACTGAGCTCACCGCGTGCTCTGCCCGTAGGCCAGGAACATCTAGGTGGCGGCAGCTTCAGGGAAGTTCTGGCTTTCCTGAGTTCTCGAAGCTCTGGCCCTTGGCCAGAAAGGTGAACAGGCCGCAGCCCTCCGGGGAGGGCTGGTTCCCTGGGGGCGGGGTGGGGTCAGGCTGCGTGCGGGTGGTCAGGGCTGTGCTGCCACCATCCGGTCCCAGGGACGCCCGCAGACAACTTCCCTTAACCTGGCTCTGCCCAGTGAGTCACCACCCAACTGCTTCCTGTTCCCCACATACCCCAGGAGTCCCAGGAGAGGCTGTTCTATCTTCTCCAGGGGTGCCAGTGGGCCTGGAGGGGGGTTATACCTGGGTCGCGAGACTGTCTAAGCCCCTAGAAAGAAGGGCAGACGCAGGGTGGGGGAGGTCCTGTGATGGGTGTCTGTATTTCCGGCCCTTTCTGAGTGGTGCTGTGTGTGTGTGTGTGTGTGTGTGTGTGTGTGTGTGTTTAGCATTTGCCCTCCCAACTTTTCCAGATTTTACCCGTCAGATTCCTGGCAGCTGTGCACGGCGCCTGTGCCGGCCGTCACGTCCCATTCCGATCCCTGGGTCGCACGGTGAGAGAAGGACACAGGATGCGCAGGGAGTGAAAAAGTGATGTCGGTGGGGAGAGTGCCAAGTCCCCGCTTGCAGCCATGGGACACTCGGGGAGAGGGGAAGCATGCTGCTGTGGAGTTCAGAGGCCGGTAGTGAGATTTATTTTTGTTTGTATGAGTAAAAAGCTGCAGAAGCCTCTTGGGGGGGTGAGGGGGGTGCAGCTGGCCTGCTGTGATGCGGACGGGCTGGCCCTGGCCTGGAGTCCAGTGAGCTGACCCGGAAAGGAGCGTTCCATAGGATCCCTGCTAGCTGTAGCTGAGGCTGAACCCCAGCGGGCCTGGGACAGGGTACAGGGGTGCACTGAGTCAAACTGCTGGCAGGAAGGACTGAGGTGGTGTAAACACGCTAAAGAAAAACGACTTCACCATGCTTCTGGAAGGTGCTATGTGAGCAAGCTGGTGGGCTGAGGCAGAGAGAGAGAGCACACACCACCAGCTTGCGAACCCAGGGGGGGCTCCTGCTGCACAGCGGGATGATCTCACAGTGCAGGGCCACCAAGAATGACCAACAAGCAGCTGTGCTGGCCGATACGCAGGGTGTAGAACGTGCAGACCCCACATTGTGAGGCCCAGCCACACTAGGAAAGAAGGCTCGGTGGGCCTTCCATCTGCTTAGGGCCTTCGTGTGGACTCGGCAGCTTCCTTCCTCTCACCTTCTACTCACCCCTTGACCCCACTGGCCACGGCAATGTCTACACCAGAAATGGCGAGTCTGGTGATGGCGCATTTCCCTGCTCACCTGCAGTTCAGAGCCCTGACACCCATCTGCTGCTTTTCATCTTGTTCAACTGCACTGTTGAGTTTCTCTGTATCCAGGAGGGAAAGTGTCTGGGGGGAACCACCACAAAGAACCAGGAACAGGAGGCGTGAGGCAGAGGACTACTGATCTGCTACTACAAAATTCACGTTACTGCTCTTATTTCATTCTGAGTGTGGATATAAATGAAAAATGAAAAACAAAAACAAAAACAAAACCCAGGACTAGCTGGTGAGCGTAACTGCTGGCAGGCAGCAACTTCTTGCGCCAGCAGAACCCAATGGCAGCAGAGGCCAAGTGTGCTGAGGCAGGTACAGCCACACCAGCCTCCCCGGAGAGCAGCAGGGTCGGCATCTTTATCTGGGGTGCACGGCTGAGGGGAGCACTGCTGCTTAGGGGCCCCTTCCAGATGTCTAAAGTACCCCAGAGTTTAGTATACAGTTGCTTGCTTTCTTAAAATCATGACCACTTGTGTGCTATTTTTGCTTTGTGAGGACTGCTTTCCAATCATACTGCAAGGTGCTCAGAAATGGAAGCCCTGTCTGCTTTTCCATAGTGTCTCTGGTAATTCTCGCACAGAGCTCAATGTGCTACACAGGCTCAGAGGAGAAGGGCACTGGAAATATGATGTGATTGGATTTTAAACAACTCCTGTCCTGAAGAAGCCAAGGAGGGGAGTGGCAGGTTAGGCATGATCCCTCCATGCTAGCTCTCAGCGTCAGGCAAAGGCTACTCACTGGAGGACAGGAGACCCTGTGAATGCTGCTGGAGTCAGGGTGGCAGCAGCTGAAGCACTTGGAACGGGATGTGCAGAGTGGCTCGAGTGGGCCTGGGTGGGGCAGGTGGCTGCCCAGCTCTGCAGGCCGTGCTTTCCTGCCCCAGCGTGGACGTGCCCCCGGCCTGGTAGTGTGCTGGCTCCCACCCTGCCTCCGACAGCTAGGAGCCAGGGCTGAGTGTCTGCCTTCCGCTAGCTTCCATACAGGTGTGGAGGGCTCTGTGCACACCCCATTGTTCCACAATGCCTTCCCCCACAGCTGGGTGGCAGTGTGAATGGACTGCAGCTATTTTTAGAGTGCAACTCCTGGGGCCACCACAAAGGAGTGACTGCATCTTCAGGAGGGTGGGTGGGCGGGAAGGGGGCAGGGGAGTAAAGCTATTTTCAGAACACATGTCATTGCTGGCTACAGGGCAAGACTGTGGCCATAATGCCGAAGGAAACAATAGCTGTGGCCAGAGGAAGAGCCTGTTATGTTTCAGGTGGGATGTTTGCAACTGCTCAGGAAACCTGACCCCGCCCGACAGCAGCACAAATCACAGCAAAGCCCCCTGCAGGCAGGGAGGAGGTGGAGAAGTCACAGGGCCTGGGCAGCAGAGGTGCAAAGAGGCCACGCCTCGACCTGGAGGAGGATTTTCAGGGACTGCTCCACCTGGGAGGCCTAGCAAGGAATGAAACACTTTTGACTGGTTCCCAGGCAAATCATGTACCCCATGCTGGTCACTGGACTTCTCCCAAAAAGGGCGATGGAGTGAAGGGGACTCAGGTGGAGAGCAAGGTGGGTAGAAGCCGCCCAGCAGGAGGAGCTGTCTCGGGGAACCAGGCAAAGCCCAGGCTGAGCTGGAGCGTGAGGCTGCAGGGCCCCTGGCTGGGCGGACTTGGCGCCCCAGCACCCGGGCCTGCCTGGGTGCCGCAGCTCCAGCTGCACAGGCCCCGAGGGTGCCCCACACCCCTTTTCTGACCTCCAGGCGGCCCCACTCACCAGCCTCTGTGCAACGCCGGAAGCAGGGAGGGACAGGCTGTGGAGGGAGGCCAGGCTTCACCTCCCCCTGGCTCCACAGATGCGCCTGGGCCCAGGGGTCTAGGTGGGAGCAGTGAAATGGGGGTGTGGCTACAACTCCAGAGCTCACTTGGACTTTATGGCCAACATGGGGGCCAGGAAGATTTTTTTTCAGCCCTATCTTCATATCCCCTTCCCAAAACATGTGCAGTTCCTGTTTTGCTGCATCTGTAAAAGGCGCTGGGAGCTGGGGACCGGCCTTACACCTCTCGGTTAACACCCCGGAGACTGGGGGAGTTGGGAGCAGTGTAATTTACAGCCCATCTCTCCGATCTTAATTCACTCGATGCTCCTTTCTTCCTCATTGTATTAGTGTGACCTAGGTACCTGCCAACAATAATGGCCTCTCTAGTTAGGAGCCTCTCCCCCACTCCCAGGACAATTTATACCTTTTCCTTGGGATTTCCCCCCCTTAAATTAAACAAAAAGAGGAAAAATAAGGAAAGGTTAACATGGGTTTGGAACACTGAAGCCCCCGTGGTTCTGGGCAGGGAGCCAATGGCCCGAGGGCACACACATGTGTGTGCTCTCCCAGAAGGGCCTTCACCGGCCCTGTTTTACAGCCACCTCGGCACAGACTCCAGGGTTCACGCATATGGCCAGACAGATGTGTCTGGCTTACGTTCAAGGCTGGAAAATGAAGAATTATGGAAGTGAAGGGCCCCGGGCATTAAAGAGGGGGGAAGGGAAGGGGGGAATTTTTCCTCTGCTGAGAAATCCTCCTGTGGCTGCAAGGCTGGAGGAAGGAGGCTGACAGGAGGCAGGGCCGCCAGCAGTGGTGCATGTGGGGCCTGTTCTTAAAGGGGCCACTGCAAGCCATGCTCGACGCACCAACAGCCGGCCCTCGAGCTCTCTCCAAAGGGGCTGACGGGAAGAAGGGGACTGGGCCGTGGCACTGGAGGTCAGGCCTTATGGATGACCTCTAGTTTTCAAGCACTGCAGCTGCCACAGGGGCAAAGTTGAACGCAGCACGCCAGACAGGGGCTGATCCCTGCACCATGTGTCCCGACAGCATCCCGCACTTCCCTTTTGCACAACACATCTTCACAGCTCTAACCACTGGTTTTAAAGGCATGGCTTCGGGGCCAGCCCTGTGCCACAGCCAGTGAAGCTGCCACCTGCAAGAGCAGCTTCCAAAAGGGCAGTGTTTCAAGCCCTGGCAGCTCCACTTCTGACCTGGCTCCCTGCTAATGTGCCTGGGAAAGCAGTGGAAGACAGCCCAAGTGTTTGTCCTTACCACCTATGTAGGGGACTGGATGAAGCTCCTGGCTTCAGCGTGGCCCAGCCTTGGCCGTTGCGGCCACTTGAGGTGTGAACCAGCACATGGAAGACCTCTCTTTCTGTCTCTGTCTCTCCTTCTCTCTGTAATTGCCTCAAAAAAGAATTAAAAAAAAAAAAAAAAAGACCGGCTCAATGTCATTCGCTAAACTAAACTGAAGACCTGGTTCCTGATTCCAAGAGAGTTCACAGTCCAGCGGGCGAAACAAGTCCAGAAACAACTGTAATATGAGACAAGATAGCAGTTCCCCCCATGAGGTATCCATCAACGCTACAGGAACGCTCAGCAGCAATGGATTCTTCCAGGGGGGAAGCAGGGAAGGCTTCACTGGGGAGATGGAGTTTCATCTGGGGATGGAAGGAGGAATAGAATTTCAACAGGTAACAGGAAATGTGAAGCAGAAAAGCGGTCCTCTGGTTTGAGAGATAGCACTGCTGAAGACCCGCGGGTGGGAAAGGACAGAGGGTATGCAGGGTCAGTGAGGGAGGAGTCAGAGTCAGAGTCGGGTGTGCTGCCCAGGCGCTGTCACTCACCCTGAGGCCTTGGCATGGCCTAAGGGGCAGATGCTGTGACTGCTTCCACTGCACAGGTGAGGAATCTGGCACAGAGAAGTGAAACCATTTGCCTGATGTCACCTAAGCTAGTGAAGGCTCCTGGTGGGTGGGGTAGTGGCAGAAATTGGAAAAACAGCCTGAGAACACACTGGGAAGCTTTAAACGCCATAATAAGGATTTAGACTTTATCCTACCAGCCAAGCAAAGGCACTGATGATGGCTGGGCAGGGGAGTGGCTCTTTTGGGAAGAAAATGATGCACTGCAGGTACGATGGTGAAATCAGAGCCTGCTGGGAAAGCTATGGACTCCACACATCGAGGGGGGCATTCATAGACTGCTTGACAAGCACAGCTCTGAGGCTGTGCAACACTCGGCCTTGCTGTTCAACCTAAGCATATACCCAAGCCAAAGCTGCAGGGGTGGCAATGGGACCACAGGAGAGGGGGGAAGCAGAGCAGACAGTGCTTTGGCAATCAGATGCAAGGTTAAAAGCCAGTACGGAATTCAGTATGATGTGCTAGCTGGTACCATCTACCAAATCACTGAACAAATATTTGCTGGGCACCAACTCAGCTTGCTAAGCCTAAGTAACAGAAAGGAAGCAGATCAGAAAAGAGAAGACAAATGGTGGTGAGGAAGCCTAGGAGGGTGCTGCAGTCAGCAGGGAGAAGACAAGGTCTGTTAGTTCGTGTCGACAGGGAGGCAGAGGAAGGGGGCTTCAGGATTGGGCGCCACACAGAAATCCAAGTGTGACAGGGACTGAGATTTGATAAGCAGAGGTCCTCGGTGATTTCTTTTTTATTTGTAAATACTTATTTTCACCTGCTTTAAAGAGAGAAAGATCTATCTCCTAGCTCACTCTCCAAGTGGCCGAAAGTCTATTTTGTTTGTCTCTTACGTGGGTGGCAGGGGCCCAACCATTTGCACCATCACCTGCAGCCTTAACAGGATGTAGTTGCAGGAAGCTAGACTGGAAGTGGAGAAGCTGGGACTTGAACTGGTTTTTCAATATGGAATGTGGACATCCCAGGCCCCCTGGTGATCTGATAGCACTCTGCAAATGCTGGGTTGCAAGTCAAGAAATGGAGGGGGCGCAAAGAGACAGAAGACTGATGGTAAGAAAGGAAAGAGCCACAGGGTAGGGGGAGGAGTTGGGTGGAAGGCTGAGGTGTCACTCACTATATGCATGCAGAATGGATGTGAAGGTTAAAGAATGACAACTAAAGAATGGCACATCCCAACTGTGCTTGGTTCCCCTCCCTGGCAGGGGTGCTTAGGCTAGCACCAGGCATGTCTATGTGTGGAACACATACAACATGCCACTCACCAAGCTGAGCACTGGGCACAAAGTAAATGGTAGAACCTGGATTGTAAGACGTCTGCCTGACCTCACACAGAAGCCTTACTCCAAAGGAGGGGACTGCAGACAGATGTTCTCAAGTGGCTGAGCAGAGTAGCTTACTGCTTTCTTGTGCACTGGTGTTTAAGCCAGCATGACTGGCTTACTGAGCAAGGAGACAGACAGGTTCTAAAGAAAAACGTGCTGGAGGGGAAGCTGAGAGTTCACAAGAGGGCTGAAGAACCTGCAGAGGGTGGAGGAAGGGCCCTGCCTGGAGAGGGTTCTGCCATCACACTGGGAATCCAGTAGAGCAGGCAGTGGCTGGAGGCTCCTCATCCCCCGAGAACTCACGGCCTCTCCAGAGCAGCCCAGAGGACCTCTGCATCCCCGGAAACGCCATGAATGACGTGTAGTGTGATATGCATTCAGATGCTCACGGAGAACAGCTATCAGCGGAAGGTCTGAGCAGACCCTGCCCGTCTCCAAGGCTCAGCGGGATGGCGACTGCAGTCATCAGACATGCAATGAGTTGAAAATAAGCAAACAGTCAGGTAGTGCCAGCCGGCACACGGTGACAGCCTGTCTGAGTGTGTCCTCTGCGCCACCCCGACAGAATCCAGCCTCACAGCTGGCCCCACCTGAATCTTCTCTTCGCGACGCTGCTGCTCAGCGATCTTCCTGGCCAGGGCCAGCTTCTTGGCACGAAGTTCTCTGATGTCATCTTCGCCTCCGCTGCCTTCAGCCTCTGACTCTTCCTCAAAGTCTTCAATCACCACGTCCTCCTCCTTTGGGTAGTGAAGACAGGCAAAAGGGGAGACAATGAGCCCCCAGCGCACCCCAGCGCACCCACCGAGCCCTCATCCATTGCAAAGCGTCTACCTGTCCCGGAGCGGCTGAGAGTGGAGAAGACACGCCCCCCAGTTCCCCTTCACATCCCAGGCTGCTGCTCTAGAGCCTTAAGGTGTGCCACTCACCACCACACACACACTTGCCTGCCTGTGCTCATTTTCTAGGTTCACCCTTGCGCACACTCACAAAGCCACATACTGGGCCTGTTTTCAAAATGAAATCACAAATGATTCAAGAGGGAAACAGCAGACACAGTGAAACCATTCAATTTAAATCTAATTCACACTAATGACCTGATAGGGATCAACTCTGGCCACCAGCTGGGAGCTGGGCGTGGAAGAGTCCTTGCCCCAGACAGCGTCAGGCAGCAGCAGATGCTGTAGCTCAGCAGCTCTTGCCCTGCGTTCTTCCTGAGACTACAGCCTGCTGGGGTGGGGGCTGCTGGGTCCTCCTGCAGGAATTTGCACATTCTAACCTTGCTCAGCCGCCCTCCTGGGGCCTGGGCAGGGTAGTGGGTGGCTGGCAAGTGTAGGGAGCCTCCCTGCCAGGCTGGTGGAGCAGTCCCCAGGGCTGGCACCGCCCTGCCTGCAGCCTTGGCTGTCGGCAGCCCGCACTCCCCGGGTGGTCCCAGGCTCCATGCCTCACTCTCTCACTTTTGGCCTTGGTCAGTAGACAACATGCAGCTGCCCAGCCAGAGAGGGTCCCGTGAGGGACAGGGCTAGCTAGCATGGGTACACAGGGAGTGAATTAGCAGAAGATCCTTGTGTTTTTAACTGGATGATAATGATGATGGGGACGACAACAGCTACCACTTACTGAGTGTCTACCACCAGCCAGGTACTAAGCGAAGCATTTTCTCATTACTGACTCATCTTATTCTCACAAGGTCTATGAAACAGGTGCTGTTACCATACCTATTTTATCAATAGCAAACTGTTTAGAGTAAACAAGCTGCTGAAGGTCACATAGCAGGGATTCAAATCCAGGGGAGTCTGACTCCACAGTCTGTTCTGACCAAGCATGCAGGGAAAACCCACAGAGCTCAGGCCCTGAAGCCAAATGGGAAAGAAGCCAGCTCTGGCCTCCGTGGTTGAGCGTGGACAGACCTGCCCACTCTCTTCCTAACTGTCCATCTCAAGATGACACTGGGACAGATGCTCTTGGGCTGAAGGTGATAGGAAAGTGTGTGGGTGGTAAGGAGGTGATGGGGTGTTTGGCCTCGGGAGTAGAATATAGGAATGGAAAGATGGGAATTCAGTGGTATGTCTAAGGAACTGGACTCCTGTTTATAACAATGATTTTTGGAAGAGACAGCTCCCTTGACTTACATCAGGTAGCTTAACTGACTTGGTCCTGCAGCCTGGGGAGGAAGGACATCTAAGGATGGGGCCAGAACTGCTGCTGTCCTGACAGGCCCAGGGGGCCAGGGGTCCTGGTCAAGCCACTTGGCAAGATAACTCAGCACTCCCTTGCATGGAGGCCTGCCTGTGGGGAGGCCCGAGGCTTTCTGCGTATTCGTTTTCCTGTCTGCAGGGTTAAGCTGGATGGCAGTGAGTAGCAGGGGATGCTTGCTTGCTCCTGAGGGAACACTGCCTATGTCTGCTCTGAACAGGGGTACACAGGGTTATCACGGGGCTTGACTGAGGTCAAAGGAGGGTCAGAGAAGCTTGTCTGAGGTTGGCTCAGCTCTCACAGTAAACGAGGAAGTGCTGGGTTATGAAATTACACAGACCAGGGTAAGTAGGGTTTCCCAGGGGCCACTAACCTACAGGAACACAAGAGGCTCGTGGGAAAAGGAAGAAGTGGGCAGCCTGGTGTGGGTCACAACCTTTGTCTGGTCAAAATGCCTCAGAAGAAAAGAGTGTGTGGCATAGCCAGGACCCGGGACCAGAGAGCTAGCATGTTCTTGTGAGTGGAGGGGCCTTCTTGGCTCGGATGCTGCTGCCTTCTCTCTGGGCCTCATTTGCCTGAGTTTTGTGCGGCCGGCTCCACTGGCCAGAACACATTTCTTATGACAGCAGGCCTGGCAAGCTGGCCTTCCTATTCTCCATGGTCTGCCTCGGCCCTGCAGCGTGGGTGAGATAACAGGGCTGAGAGCGGCCCCACCTGGGCCTCCCGCACCGTGCCCGGGACTCAGTAGAACTGCTGTGTGCCCGAGGTCTGCACACCAGGAGGGCTTTGGCAACCCCGCCATCTCCTCCCACACAGACAGCTCATTCTTTCCCGTTGTTCCCTGTCCAGGTTTCATGGGGAGAGTCTGGAATCATGGGCTCAGCTCTATCCCTGGAACCACCTCTGTCCTGGAAGCCGAGCCCTGTGTCATCAGGGTGGGGTGGGTCCTTCAGCTATTCTAATGAAGCCAGTCCAAGCCCGGCCGCTCTGAAGACTGTTCTGAAGGTGGCCACTCTATCACTGCTTTCAGATCCCACACGACAGCTTCCAGCTGACATCTGGTTTCCCTGGCCTGCTGCTGATTTCATCCCTGCACCCCGCCCTGCTCCACCGGGCGCTTGACACTGCTGTGGGCCAAATGACTGGGTTGGCCTATGGGTGACCTGGCCTCTGGCTAGAACTGCTTCCGTCCCTTCCCTCAGTCCTATGTTCCTTCCCACCTAAGGCCCCTCTGTCTTGAACACTGTGGGGTGGAGAGTGAGCTTTCTGGCAGAAGTGAGGTGTGTGCATGCCCACACCCATACTCACAGCAGGGCAGCTGGCAGCAATGCTAAATGCACACCCACTCTCACACCATCACATTCACACCTGCTCAGAACCACACACGACAGGTCAGTGGTGGCAATGTTCACTTAGACTGCCACATTAACCTAGCCCGTGCACACCCACACCCACATCAACAGTCACCTTCAGAAAGATATGCAGATGGCAACTGCCCGTGGGACTTTGCGGGGGTGAGTACACAGGCGCATGCGTGCATGTGCGTGAACACACTGTGGAGTGAAACAAGGGCTACAGGAACAACCAAGGGCAAACAAACAAGAGGAGAATTCCTTAATCACATCAGGATGTGCAGGAGGGAGGGAGGAACCGAGGGAGGGAAGGCAGGCCGGGGGAAGGGGTGATTTTCCACGCGGTACCAGCAATGTCAGCTCTTCCTGTACGTGTGTTGGAGGCTGGAGTTCAGGCCTGTGCTGCCCTGAGCCCCACACATCTATAAACTTGATCCTCAGCCTGAACCCCAACACCCCCCCTCTCTGCACTCCCTTTCCTAAGCCTCCAGAGCTGCACATTATTAAACTCTTTCTTTCCTTCCCTCCCTTCTCCTCCAATGCAACATTAAAAAGAAGCATCTGGAACTCGTAGCAGAGTGAGATGAAGGCACTGGGGTGGACTGGCAGGAAGGGGCACCAGCACAGCGCACTCTCGAGAGACTGACTGGTCACGTTAACACAGACACTGCTCGGCGTGGTTATAAATAACCCGGGGTAGAAGCTGAAACCATGGGCGGGGGAGGGGAGCCTTCCCTCTGCCACAGCGGGCTCTTCCCGCATAGTACCTCATCTTCCAGTTGTTTTCCCTCTTGGCTTCCCATTTCCTTTCCCATGGTGTCTGGGACGGGTGCCACTGACACATATTTTCCACCCTTGAATGCCAGCAGAGGCTCTTCTTGTCCACAAAGGGCTTCCAGAAAATACTTCAGCACTGTGACCCTTTTGCAGTCGGCTGCAATAACCTACAGGGCGAGAGGGAAAGAAGAAAAACAGCATTTTTTGAAAGGGAAGATGGAGAGGAGAGAGCCTGTTGGCTGAGGGGTCTACAGAAGTGTGTCAAAGTTGCAGTGCCAGGGAGGCGGAGGAGCACAGGTGTGCACTGCGTGCTGCAGCGAGGGCCAAGGTGGCTCAGTCAGACAGGTCCACACAGTCTCCCCTCAGGCCGTCCCTGGGACCAACGCCAGGTGCCCTTGGGGACTGCGCCTTTCTTTTATCATAGCCCTGATACAAAGAAAAAATAAATGAAATTCTTCTGAGTTTGGTCTGTCATCAGTAAGAGGAGTAGGGTGTGAAACGCTGGCTCCCATAGAACATGGCCTTTGGGTGCCTCTTGCCCAAGCTTCTCCCCAGATGCCAAAAAGGAGAACTTTCTGCCCAGTGCAGAATGAATGAGGAAGGCTTTCTAGGCTGTTCCATCTCAGCCAGAGTACGCTGGGCTTCCCCTGCCAGGTTCCTGCCCCACCTGAGAGCGTCTCATGCTCAAGAGACCGGGGCCAGGCAGGAAGCTGCTGGGGCAGGGAGGCAGGCCAAGCAGGTGGGGGCCGTCTGGCTGAGCTCCGCTTCTTTGGGGTCCATGTGTACTGCTCTGGTGTGACTACGCTGGCACACAACACCAGTGTTGTCACAGACAGAGGCACTGATTCAGCATCTTGAGCAAGCGTCAAACTTGCAACTGTCTGAGATGAAGCGCACAGTCATCTAGTCCTGGATCTTCCTGGAAGGCAACACATACCCACTGACCTCCAAACCCACCTTTTCTGCTTAACACCACCCAGTGCCATCCTTGCCCGTTTGTGCCCTTCTCTCACTCTTATGATCTGTTCCTCCCTGTGGCAGGGTGCTCACCAACAGATGGAATCTGGCTGACCTGCAGCCGGGCAGTTCAAGGCCATTGCCCCAAGGGCAACTCACAGTAGTGGTCACATGTGCCCGCGGTGGGCAGCCCCTTCACTCTGATTCCAAACCACACTGGTGCCCCTGCTGTTCTTTTTGCATCCACAGTGAAGGACTCATGGGGAAACATTTTCTGCTCAGTCTTACAGGTGTGTGGGCCAGCTCCTTTGTCTGGACAGCAACCACACCAATCACTCTCATATTTCTCTGGGCTGTGAGAACCAACTGGACCAGCAGTGAGACTGGGAAGTACAGGGAAGTGTGGTGGGGCAGCATAGGGAGTGGATGCGGCAGGCGTAACCCATGTCCTCTGCCACCCTCACCAAGCTTGTCTTCCCTCTGCCCAAGGATGGTCCGTACTCGCCCTCATCAAAGGTCTTGTTACCACTCTAGGCTGTGCTCTGAGGGACAGCACCTGCAAAGCTTGGGGCTATACAGAAGAGGCCAGGAAAGAGCAAGCCTCTAGGGCTGAGGGCACCTGGCCCTGGGCTCACCTTCTTGGAGGAGGAAGGAAGCTCATTTGGCCCAGAGTAGGTAACCATGGTTCTATCGCGTGTGTTCAAACATGTGATGAGGAAGGCTAGAAATACAGAAGCAGGGGCTACAAGGCATTAAAGAACAGAGCTGAAATGAGTAATGGCCTGGCAGCCAGCACGCACAGTGGCCTCCCTGCATCCCCAGCCTCTCACTTGCAGAGGAAACTTCTGCATTTCCACAAGACTGCCAGTTTCCTCTCTGTGGTCTAATTTTAACCACCTTGTCGTTACAGTGTGTGTCAGCCACCTGACCCCACTCTGACCTCTGACCTTATGCCCCAGCTACTGCTTGCACTATGGAGAATTATGTAATGGGTCCAGGACTTTCCTTTCTGGTGTGAGGCTGCTGCCACTGAAGGGAGAGTAGGTGGGGGAGAGGAGTGTGAAGAGGACTGAGGAAAAGCTTGCAACGGGCCCTGGCCTCATCTGGCTGGTGAGCACTGGCAATCCCGTTCAGTGTGCCACAGGAATTTGCCATGGAGAGAAGGGGGTGGCTCAGGGGTGCATGGATAGGGCACGGACCAGTTCGGGAAGAGCGTGACGCCCAGCTAAGAAGGTGAAAGGCCGTGCATGTGGACGTGGTGCTCCTGGAGGTGGGGATTTCCAGGGCACAGCGGGACCCAGGGATGTGTACATCCTGAGTCTGCCAGTGGCACATCCTTAGAGATCAGTGGGGACTGTCCACCACAGAGACACACAAACAAGAAGGGGCTTTTCCTCCCTGGTTTTCATTTCATGCCATTTAGAAGGAACCTGGCTTGCTTGATGAGGGGACTTGGCAAAGACAGCCCTGACTGGTCCGAGAAAGTGCAGTGCTCCACTTAGGTCTTGGAGCTGTTGCTAAGCAGCCTGAGAAGGACTCTACCTGCCTGGAGAAAGCAAAGCCACTCAGTCTTTGGGAGGTGCCGTCTGTCCTTTCAACCCAACCAGCAAGGAGAGCAGCCAAGGCTAAATACAGTGTCCTAGGTTTCTAAAGGACATCATGGGAGGCAGAAATGTGGAGTACCAGGGGCCCAGAGGTTCCTCTGACTCCAGCCTGCTGAACTGTCTGTGACAGCATTCTGTCTTAAGGTGGCAGGAGAAAGCCCAGTGAGAAGATCCCCAATCTCTCCTGCCCCTGTACTTGGGGGGCTGATGGGAAGAGTCTCCTTCACAAAGCTGCCAGCATTTGAATTAGAAAAGAAAAAGAAAGCAAGCAAACAAATAACGCAAGCAGTTTACACATGGTTAATAAGTGCTATCGTGATGGAAAAAGCCTTCTAAGTTTCTATGAAAAGCCAACTGCAAGATTATTTCTGCTTGGCCAAGGAAGACTCCGTGGCAGGAGAAGGGTTAAAGCTGGGCTCCCTGTTGCAAGGGAAGGAGTCCAGATGGAGTCTGTGACATAATCCCCACAGTAACTGTTTGTGAGCACATTTTTCCATTCCGTATCAATGAGAAGCTGAGAATGTAAGTAGCATGTACACGGCCACTCTGGGTAAACTGTATTCCCCAGTGGAAGAGTCAGGCAGCAGAGGTCTCCTCGCCAGGCAGGAGCAGGTGGGGCCAGGGTGTCGCTGGCCAGGGAGCCGGGAACTTTCTCAGTGGCAGGCCCCCTTCTGGAGGGAGACTCACAGCATAGATTATTCAGTTCATGGGCACAATGTCTCACATGAATTGTCTCATTCAACCTTGAAAAGGATACTGGGGCTTTAGGTCAGGGAAGAGGGGAAAGAAAGGCACCCAGAGAAAGCCCCATCCCTTTCCCCTCGAGCCAACTGGAGGCAACTTGCCTCACCAGCGGGAACTGAAACCTTGAGCTTCAGGGCTCCAGCTATCACCCGGATCGGTCCACACACGCAAAGAGCCAGGCAGAAAGGAAAACTGAAAGCACACCTGGAGAGGCAGTCAGGAGCCTGGCACGGCAGGCTCAGGTCCCCAGGGCGCCTGTGAGCCAGCTCCAGGTGAGTGGGGACCGCAGGTGAGGAGGAGAGCTGAGGTCCAGAGGACGGCAGGAAGAGACCTCTAGGTCAAGATGGGAGCGAGGACTGGGGTGTCTGAGGGGAAGGGTGGGTAAGGAGAATGATGTGTTCTGAAATCTCATGACTCCTCACACACAACCACTCGGCCAGGGCTTGTGCCCAGGAGATCTACGCTGCCTTATGGGAGGTGGGTGAGGACGGGAGAGAAAAGGAGCTGTATACTGGGCCCCATAGCGATGTGGTGTGATCTGGGCTGCGAGACATCATGCCTCGCTGAACACAGCCGTGGCGAAGGGGTAACCCCTGATGGGGCTGGGACTGCCTGGAAAGCTGAAGCAGGCCTCTTGGAAACAACCTTTAGGGAAGGTGGGACTTGCTCCACTCTTAACTGGGTCCCTGTTTTCTCCAAAGACAGTTTTTGGAAGGCATAAGCACCACAGTGGCTACTCTGCAACATCTCTTTTTTAACCCCCAACTTTTGGTTTGGGGACTCAAATTAAAGTCACACATCAGCCAGTTCTTTTTTTCTGGTCCTAAAAAGTCCAGCTTTGCTACTGCTCCTTTGGTTAAAGAGAAAAATCACACGGGTTTCCCCCACAAACTCAAGTTTACAGGTTGTTTTTTCTTGTTTCTCTAAACGGAGCCAATTATTGTCACATTTGTTGAAACCTTCAATCAAACTTTATAGCTTGTTAATTTTACAGAATGTCCTTAGAGCAAATAAGATGCAGACAGGAAAGTGAAGTCTTGCTGAGATTATTAAGAAACCCTAAAATAGCTTCCAAATCCACCACCAACGCTGGTAAAACACAGGCTGCTTGGCTGGCTTCTGAGGTCAATTAGCAATGGGTTAATTATCGTCTTTAATTAACTAAGCCTCAAGGACTGGCTACAAGACATTTAACTCAGGCTAACGGGTTTCCAACAAACTGGGAACCTCTAGTTACGCACAGCTCCCCCTTACTGGAGACTGAAGGGTGGGAAGCACAATTCTGTAGTGGCCAAGGGTGGGTCGGCCTGAGAAGGGGTCTGCCAAGGAAAAGTTCAGACACAAGACATTAAAAAATACCACACAGGGAATCCTCTGGAGCTGGGAGGACAGAGGAAATGGTTTGTCCACATTCCTAGGGCAGGGGCTTCCTGGCAGGGAGTGGACTCCACAGACAGGAGAGAAACGGGCCACAAGCACGCAGTCACTTTGCAGATGGGCACTGGTTCAGGGAAGCAAGACGGACGTTCATGGCTGACCTGGAACAGATGCGCTGTGATGCCAAAGGAAGAGGAAAGAGGAGCCTGTGCAGGGGCAATCAGGCAGGCATGACATGGAGAGAAACATGCAGGCCTCAAACCCGGTGAGGCAGGTGTCCAAGGGACCAACTCACATGGTGGTCCATGTCTCCCACCCATTTCTGAAGCGGCAGTCACCAATGCTCCAGGCCTGAGTGTTAGCCCTGCCCTGTCTGACGGCCGGTCTTCTGTGCCCGCGGAGGGGGTCCATGGGTTATGAGACAACATGCTAATGTCATCAATCAACCCACAGTAGCTACACCATTAAGTGTGTTGGGTTCTACC